GTATAATATTAAAAATATACGAGATTCGACTTCTTAAAGGTAAATTAGAATTATTATTAGAATTATTATTCAGGGGACCGTCCGGCGAATTCGGAGGGCTTCCTAATAAGTTATTTCCACTTCCGCTATCGTTTGGGTTGTTGAAAATAATTGGGGCGGCGTTAATAATAATTATTCCGTCCGGAAGCGTAAATTTATAAGTTCCAGCGGAATTAAGAACCTTTATTCTAATTATATTTCTAATTTAATATTAAGCGCCCGGAATATTAATAAGCTCGTTAATTGCGGCTCCGTAGGGGCTTACGTTTCCTCCTGTAGTTTCGGTAAAGACGTTTTCGGTAAGAATTATATTAGTAATTTTATTAATCAGTTCGTTAAGTAGTAATTTATTTCGAATTAGGTCGCTATTTATAGTTCTAACCGATATAAAATCTTTTATAGAAGTATTAAAGTTAAGTTTCTTTATATTTAGTATAGAAATATTTAAATTTAATTTATATATATTATATAAAAGCTCTTTGTTCTAATTGAATTATTTAATGGTTAACTTTTAGTAATAATTTCTAGTTGGTTTCGGTACGTTAAATTTGATAAGTCTTGAAAAAAAAAAATTATTAAAGTCTAATTATATAATTTATATTAAAGTACTAAAAATTTTAAAATAGAACGTTTTATTAATACTATCCTACGTATTTCTTTTTAGCGATCCTCCTCTTACGTTATTAATATAATCTTCCAGGCTAATATAATATAGCCCTAAACCGATATAGGGACTATAAATAGTACTAGCGGCCGTATATTTATTAAGGGTCGCACTATATTTTATAGTACGATAATTTTAGGAATTTGCAGGATTATATAGTACCCTTCTAAATTCGGAATTAATATTTATTATTATTTATATTAAGCGGGCAAAATTAAAATTAATTAACCTACCTTTCTAATTTTAATTATATATACTAAAATAAGATTAGAATTAGGAGTAAAGGGTATAATAGGCGCTATAGTAGGCGATTGGTCGGTAGAGTTGTATCCGAACCGGGGACGGGGTTAATTGGAGTAAAAAAAGATTAAAGCCTATTTTAAAGAGAAATAAACGAATTCGGTATTCTATTTATATTATAATAAAAGTCGACGCTTTAAGGTTTTTTCGTATCTTATATTAATAAATCGTTTTTTGTCCCTTTATTTTCGTAGTTCCTTTTATATTTTAAATTCCCCTTCGATAACCCTTATAGACGTAAATCGATCGTATATATTAAGTGCTATTTTAACCGTCAATATAGCGACGTTAAGTCGAAAATCGGAATTTTTAACGGTTAATAGCCGAATTAGGGTTTTATCGAAGGTCTATAGGTAGTTATTTATTTCGTCAGGATTCTTCTTAAAACGGTCTAAAATTTTATTTATTTCGAAATCGATATCGTCGAATTTATTATAAAAGGTTTAGGGATAACGAATCTAATAGAAATACGCTTTTTTTACTCTATTAGTTTATTCGTCGGTCTAAATAATCGTTAGGGACGATATCGTAATAATTAGCAAAGCTACGCTACCGGGTATGAAAAATACTATAATATAAAAATGTAATAATAATAATAATATATAAAATTCGATTCTAAACTATATATATTATTTATTACGAAGTATTTAGTATTTACTATTTATACGTAGCTAACTAACCTCAGTACGGTCGAAATCGACCGTAATAAGTTTAGCCTCTAATCCTACGCTAAAATCGATAAGGTCGGGCTCGATACTAGGATTAGTATCGAACTCAGCAATATCGAAATTAGATAGGTATAATTTAGGACTTAGGTCAATAAATAATTTTACTAAATAAATATTTCTAGTTGTATATAGATAATTAATTAACCCTCTCTCTTAGGAAGAGAGAGGTCGAGTAATTATTTATATCTAGTACTATATCTAGCACTACCGGACCGGGCTAACGTCCGGTACAGAATGCTAAGTATATACCAGCCCATCCCGATGCGTAATAAGTATGTAGCGTTAATAAAACTAATAGGAATAGATTTAGTAAAGGATAGGGAATTGAAAAGACAGGAGAATATAATAGTATACATTAAAATAAATGAGATTAATAAGGAGATAAATCCTAGGATAGTTATATAATACTATGAATAGCTTTATTTCTAGGCAGTTTTGTCTTTGTAAGACTTCAACTGGGGAGGTGTATCAATTTAGAGGGTTAAATCTAGCCAGTAAGAAGGGGGCTCTAAATAAAGACTAGCCTCCCAGCTACCCAGAATCTAGCTGTAGACCTCCCTAATACTTTGGGAGCCCCCAACTCTGGTTCTATAGTACTCTTCTATACACATACATTAATATAGAGATTTACCCACTTTTGACTCAACTATGCATTCTGACAAGACTCTCTCCTCGGGAACACACCGTCCGTTCGGTATTTTAGTATGTGCATTGGTGTGTCGTTTTTGTTACACTCAACCGAACGACGCTTTGTAGAGGTAGGTAGGTTTGATTTCAAAGCGAGTGCTTGGCGATTGGGAACGATCATGTGATGGATTGAAGTTGCCATGGTATGTATGCCTTCCGTTTCTTTCTAGGGGACACGGTGAAGGAGAGTTCTTCATCGTCACCGTGGTGGTAGTGGTGGTGTAGTCTTCGTGACTGGGAAAGATATAGTACCACTCGGCGGTGAGAAGTTGAGAGAATCAAAGATGAACAGTTCAGTTGGTAGGTAGCGTCTCCGCAAAACGGTGTCATCACCAACCAACTCTGTCACAACAAGAACCAAAACGGATTTCGCAAACGAGAACGGGAGAAGTCAAAGTCTATTCGGAGTGACACTGTCGCAGATCCGGGGAAATGCGACTGGCAAAAAGCTTGGCATTCAGGGCACCAAGAATTGGACTTTGATTGGACGCTTTTCCTTCACTGTGTTTGGTGTTGCATCCCAAACGGGACTCTTTCTACTGCGTAACAACTGGACTGGGACTGCTGGACGGATCGATGGAGGAAGCATGCATATGATTTGACTGACAGAGAGCGCGGGGTGAATCCCATATTGGGACCCATGATATCCTTTGATCCGGGGAGAGTCAGATCTGTTAGCATAGAGAGAGCTTTTGCCTAGAAGAGCAGGTTGTATCATGGTTCTTCCATTCCAGGTTACAAAAGTTCGTTACAATGCAAACATTTTGCGCCGTACCTACCTCTATGCATGCCTTATCTTTTCTCTCCTCGCGAACGACTCGTGGCTCTACAGTCACCATCTCCACAAATATCCGGTCAGCCGGAGGAGCATGTGCTTGGCTTGCCTGCGCTCGTGGCTTTCACATGTCTTTTTCATCCGAAAGAATGCGGCAGCGGCGGCCGTCTGAATTACGCCATGTACCTTACATAGGTATCTGTGCTGCGGTCTTGAAATATGTGCACGTGCATTTTCTGTAGGCATGGGCAGGCACCCGAGCTCCTACAATCTTTCATCTTGTCAACCTCAACTACACACATCGAAAATCTATACTTTCAGCTCAGAACACAATTAAGGGAAAATAGCAACTGAAAAGAGGCTTGTGAGTTGTGAACAAGAGATATGATGTCCAGTGGAGGTCAACCCCAGAATGGAGAAAAGGCTTGGCCTGGATTCTTCTGGAGTGGTCACCCCGCAAACTGGAACCTCTTGGGCCAATGAGGCCCACTCGTTCCAAGTCCCCGGAATGCCGTACCGTCGCCTTTGACTGCCTCCGCTTGTCCGAGCAAGATCCCTTCCAACGTCCACTTGTCTGTGATACCGTACGCCGCCGTCGCTCGTCACTGGCCAGCCAAAGAAGCAAGCCTGCACATCTTCTCGCTCCTCGCTTCTCGGGCCGCCGCGATACAATCCACCGCCTGAACTCGTCAAAGTTACCGGCGAAAACGAGTACTGTAACTCCCCACTTTCACGTACGTACTAGTCAGGACCCGGTCAGGCCAAGGGCTCGACGACGACCACAACGTCATTGTCGCCAAGGGGTCAGAACCACAATCCCATCCCATCTCCAGCACATGCTTTGATCCCATGGGGAAGGGCTTGATGGGGTTTAGTCTAGTCTGGGGAACACGTGTGTCCATGACCAAGGCAGCTGACCAGTGACCACACAGGGCTACAGCTATTCAGGACTCATAGATATTGGATACTCAGAGAGGGTTTGCCTGTCTTGGGATCTAGCAGTCATCCATCTACTTTCATCTTTGTTCGAAAACTCTACTCTTCATCCATCCTACTCCTATCCTCATCCATCTTCCAAGAGATCTGATACGACCACATACACTACCTTACTGCCGAGAGAAGGAGATCAAGAACAGTTGAAACCACCGCTATCTGTTTCGGTACGTTGCTCCTGCTTGAGCTTCCCTTTGCTTTCATCAGACCCTAGTCTATGGGCCACGGCAGTTCCACGCATCTGGACCAGTTGGACGCATTCCATATTGGGTGCTCGGACTTGCGGAGAAAACATGGGCGGGTTACCGCTACATTCACGATATTCACACCCCAGGGGGGCACTTCCACTTACACACACGCACACTACGGCTGAAGGAGGGCCACCGAGGGAGCTACCACATGCTCCAGCTGCCACCTCTCGCTGTCACAACAACTCTCGGCGTCGTCTTTTGGTACCTCGAATTGCTATCTCGGGCTCTTCTTACTCCTCCAAGGGAACAAGAGGTAGTTCCACTTCGTCCCCAGAGCTCCATTCTCCATATGTTCATGACTCTCACTGTACTTCCCGGGTTGTCCGCTACCTACGTCTGTGGGTCTGGCGCTATTCTTCTCTCTGCCTGCTCCTCTTGCTCCCCTCACCATGCCCATGCGGCTTACATACACCCTGATACTGTACCAGTGTACATTGATACCCTCCTCTCCATAGTCCCCTCCCCCGGCTCCCACTCCCCCTTCGTATAGTTATACCTTCATAAGCCCGGCCGAGAACCGGACTCTTTCCCAAAGCTATTTCCCTGTCTCTTACATCCTCCCAATTTTCTTCAAAAAGATATCAAGACTGCCATTATTTCTACCGTACAGCCTTGCGTGGGTTGAACATCAGCATTCGAGTCTCACCTTTATACGCCTAACTACCACACTTATACACTCACAGCCTGACACCAAACTTAACTGACACAATGACTACTGAAGTTCGCACATTTACTCCTCCGAGAGCTTTCGGTGACGCTATCAGCCAACCCGTTACCACACCAGTTATCACAACTTCGACAACACCACGCTCCGTCCCCGACCTCCAAATCACACTCAAGCCCGCCATCAGCCCATCGCTAAAGGCTCGCCAGTACAGCATGGACTCTACTCCTGAAGAGAAGCCCAAGGGCGGCGTCACATTTTCCCACCAAGACAAGCTCCCCAAGCTTCCTATCCCAGAACTCGAAAGCACCTGCCAGAGATATCTCTCTTCCCTAAAACCGCTTCAGACGCACAGGGAACATGCCGAGACGAGGCGTGCTGTTCAGGAATTTCTTCAGACCGACGGTCCCGAGCTGCACGAGAAGTTGAAGAAGTATGCCGAGGGACAGACAAGTTATATTGAACAGTTCTGTAAGTCCCTTCAGCACACTTTTCGTAGAAGCAGTCCATGTTCGGCTAACACACCTTCAGGGTATGATTCGTACCTCAACTACGACAACCCGGTTGTTCTCAACTTGAACCCCTTTTTCTTGCTCGAAGATGATCCGACACCGGCTCGCAACAACCAAGTTACCAGGGCCGCCTCCCTGATCGCGTCAGCTTTGGAGTTCGTAAGGGCAGTCCGCAGGGAGGAGCTTCCACCAGACACCGTCAGGGGCACTCCCCTAGACATGTACCAGTACTCACGCCTCTTCGGTACCGCTCGTGTCCCCACCGATTCCGGATGCCAGATCCAACAAGATGACAAGACTAAGCACATTGTCGTCATGTGCCATGGCCAGTTCTACTGGTTCGACGTTTTGGATGATAATTCCGACGCCATCATGACCGAGAAGGATATCGCCATCAACCTTCAGACCATCGTCGACGACGCCCGACAAACCCCGATCCAAGAGGCTGCCAAGAGCGCCCTCGGTGTGTTGAGCACGGAGAACCGCAAGGTCTGGTCGGGACTCCGGGACGTCCTGACGAGGGATCCCGGTTCCAACAACGCCGACTGCCTGAGCATAGTCGACAGTGCTCTCTTCGTTGTCTGCCTGGATTATACGGAGCCAACCACCGCTGCTGCTCTTTCCCAGAACATGCTCTGTGGCACTAGCGAGATCGAGAAGGGAGTCCAGATTGGCACCTGCACCAACCGCTGGTACGACAAGCTTCAGATCATCGTGTGCAAGAACGGCAGCGCCGGTATCAACTTTGAGCACACCGGTGTCGACGGCCACACCGTGCTGCGGTTCGCCAGCGACATCTACACCGACACCATCCTCCGCTTCGCCCGGTCCATCAACGGCAAGGCTCCCTCAATGTGGGCTTCGACCAGCCCCGACCCGTCCAAGCGTGACCCCGAAAGCTTCGGAGACGTGAGCACCACCCCGCACAAGCTCGAGTGGGACATGGGACCCGAGCTTAGCGTCGCCGTCCGCTTCGCCGAGACCCGCCTGGCCGATCTCATCAGGCAGAACGAGTTCGAATGCCTCGACTTCCACGGCTACGGCAAGAACTTCATCACCTCCATGGGCTTCTCCCCGGACGCCTTTGTGCAGATGGCCTTCCAAGCGGCCTACTACGGCCTCTACGGCCGCGTCGAGTGCACCTACGAGCCCGCCATGACCAAGATGTTCCTGCACGGCCGCACCGAGGCCATCCGCACCGTCTCGGACGACTCGGTCAACTTCGTCCAGACCTTCTGGGCCGACGCCCCCGGCGACGCCAAAATCGACGCCCTCCGCAAGGCCTGCCAGGGGCACGTCAACAAGACCCGCGACTGCGCCAAGGCCCAGGGCTGCGACCGGCACTTGTACGCCATGCTCTGCCTCTGGCAACGCATGCAGGACGATGACGCCGCCAGCACCACCAGCAGTAACAGCATGAACGGCTACTCCTTCGAAGACGGCGCCTCCACCTCCGTCATTGGCTCGCCCTCCAAGGATTCCGTCTTCTCCCAGTCCATGGAAGACCAATCTCAGGCCGGTGGCCGTGAACGCGGCGACTCCATCAACTCCCACATCTCCGCCACCCCTTCCCAGCGCGGCGGCGTCCCCCAACAACTACCCACCATCTTCGCCGACGCCGGCTGGGACAAGCTCAACACCACCATCCTGTCCACCTCCAACTGCGGCAACCCGTCCCTCCGGCACTTCGGCTTCGGCCCCGTCTCCGGCGAAGGGTTCGGCATCGGCTACATCATCAAGGACGAGTGCATCTCCATCTGCGTGTCGTCTCGCCACCGTCAAACCCGCCGGTTCGTCGATACTTTGGAATCCTATCTACTCGAAATCCGCCGTATCCTCCGCATCGCCGCTAGGAACAACGCTTCCGCTGGTGGTGCCAACGGGGTTAGTGGTACGGCGAATAAGGGTATGTCCAGGGCAAGGGAGATCGACGCGGCTGCTGTCAACCAGAATGGAACAGAGAAGCCGGTTCGCCCCAAGATTGGGAACAGGATCAAGTCCCGCGGGAGACTGATTACCGGTCAGAGCAGCGGGCTTGGTCAAGGTGGACCGACGAGCACGTACAATGGAGGAAGTAGTGTGGGGAATATCAAGGGCACGGGAGGGGGCAGTGTTAGTAGTGCGATGGAGGAGAGCGTGGTGATGAGTGAGGATGATGAGATTGGTGGTTGTAAGTCTTTTTTTTTTTTTTTTTCCCCTTTGCCCTTGAGTGAGACGAGTTGATGATGATGACTAACAAATGTGTTGTAATGATAGATGGTTTCTTCGACGCCGGTATGCTCCAACAAGCGCTTAAGGCGCGCCAGCAGGGTCACTACCATCATTCCCACAACCATGATAGCAGCAGTGATGATCGGAGCAACCAGAGCAGACAGAGGAGAAGCAGGAGGGATGTGGGCAAGAAGTTGCCTTTGATTGATTACTAGAGTAGACCTTGTTGTTTGCTTTAGGGTTTTTGGTTTCTTGGTTTTTTGATACACCATGGGTTGTTTAGTTGGTCTGTATGCCTCAGCCGGTTTTATTGAGGTTATGGTTGTGTTAGCGCTGCTTGATGTTCTTGGATTTTGGTATACCGCGATGGAGAGAGACACACAGACAGGCAGGTACAGAGATGGGAAGATGGGATATGAAGACGTACCGTTACCGTACATACCCTAAACGAGTTGAGGGGGTGAATGATAAGGTACTTACAGTTGATGTTATACTCCTTTTGTGACATTGAGACCTGCGTGACTAGTGATGAAGATGCTAAACGACAAACTTCTGCTGTTTGCATAACCGCCATACACCATAACGCACATCCATCCTTGACGATGACAGACTGAGAAACCTCAGTGTACATACACATGCATAAGCTACCTTGATCCAGACCAGAGAGAGATAACCAAGGTAGAAATGACGATGAAGATAAAAGATGATAATGCATGCATGACAGTAAAAAAACGGTATAAAATTCAATATTCCTCTTCCCAGAGTCAGTCCATTTGCCAAAAACTCCTCTCCCTTTTTCCAGGTACCTTGGATTACTTCCCTTTTACACTGGTGGCACTAGTAGCAGTGCCGCCTCCTCCTTCATCTTCTGTCTTTCCCTATATCTACCTCCACCCCGTCTCCTTCTCTTCGCTCCCTTCTTCTTGTTGTTCCCACCATCCTTGGTCTCAGCGGCTACGCTAACAGGATCGATATCCCCCGCCACGTCTCCGGGTGGCGTGAGACTCGCCTTATCTTTCTTGCTGTCTTTCTCTTCAGAACCGCCACTCACCGTAGTAGTAGCAGCAGCAAAAGATGAAGAAGAAGACTTCTTCTTCCTCTTCCTGTCTCTAGAACGCCACTAACGCGCGCTACCGCTGCCCTTGATGGCTTGCCTCCTCTTGACCTTATCGGTGATACGAGTGAGGGCCGACTTGATCTCGCCTTTCTCAAAGGTATCGAGGTCGTAGTAGACGGGGGCGATTTCCTGTTTGTATCGTGTTAGTTTCAAGATGCTACAAGTGATATACGGTTACTAAAAGAGGGGGGATACATACAAGAAGCCACTCAGGACGGATGTTGGTCACCGTCCTGACGTACTGCTTAGTCGTAAGAACGAACTCGTTGTAGACGACCCAGTCGTACGGGCTCGTCACCGATGTGCTCGGGTGGATCATGACGAGCTGGTCGTCCTTGACCGTCTTGTACACCTTGCTGTTGCTGCTCTCGCGCATGGCCACCTGCATGAAGAAGCCGGCCAGCAGGGCGCGGCGGATGTTGGTGTAGTAGTTCTTGTCCTGGAACGGCGTGCTGACCAGGTCGATGTCGTGCGTCTCCATAATGCGCTTGAGCTGGGCCCGGACGTTGTCGGCGCTCGACAGGTGGCGGTGCGAGAGGAAGTGCTCGTGGCACCAGCGCTTCATGTCCTCGCCGTTGGTCTCGGCGCCCTTGTAGGCGTGATAGGCGTTGAGCAGCGTCAGGTGGTCGCCGTCGGGGTGGGCGAACTGCATCTTCATCTCGTCGGCCCGCTTGCGCGCGTTGTTGGGGCGCACCCATATCGAGGGGACCGAGAGGAGGGACACGATGGAAAGGATCTCGTTGGAGCAGTAGAACTCGGGCGACGAAATAAGCATGACGGCGAGGGCCGGGTCGAGCGGGAACTCGGAGGCCATACCACCAAGGCGCGTAAGCTCACCATCGTCGTCCAAGCAGGCGAGGTAGTTGAGCTCCTCCAGGGCGCGCATCATGGTCTCGGGCGCAGGAGGGTCCATGAGATCGAAATGTACCAAATCCTCAACACCAAGCTTCTTCAACTCCAAAACAGTGTTGGCCAGATTGGACCGGAGAATTTCAGGGTAGGTTTGCTCAATAAGCTCCTTCTTGAAAGCCTTCTCGGTGTAAAGACGGAAGCATTTACCGGGCCGTGTACGACCGGCACGACCAGCTCTTTGCTGAGCAGAGGCCTTCGAAATAGGAGAAACCAACAGGGACTCGACACGAGAGCGAGGGTTGTAAATCTTTTGCTTGCTGAAACCGGGGTCGACGACGTAGACGATACCATCGATTGTCAAGGACGTTTCGGCAATGTTGGTCGAGACAATGACCTTGCGACCAGGCCTGCCACCCTTGCGCAGGGGCTCGGGGGCCTTTTCGAAAATGCGCTGTTGGTGCGCAGGAGGGAGAGTACCATAGAGAGGGTAGACCTTCATGGGGCCAGCATCCGACTCGCGAATCATGTCGTCCACCTCCAAGCTGATTCTCCGGCAAGCATCCTCAATCTCCTCCTCACCAGTAAGGAAGAGCAGGATGTCTCCCTCGGGCTCAGTGGCGTGAATCTGCAGCACCGTCCGCACGGCGGCCTCGAGGTAGTCACGCTCGGGCTCGGGGGTATAGAAGATCTCGACGGGGAAGGTACGACCGGGGACGGCGAGCAATGGGGCGTTGTAGAAGTAGGACTGGAACTTTTGGGCATCGAGGGTGGCAGACATGACAATGATCTTGAGGTCTTTGCGGCGGGCGGCGATCTGCTTGAGCAGGGCCATGAGGATATCGGTCGCGAGGGTACGTTCGTGGGCTTCATCGAGAATGATGCAGCTGTAGCGGGACATGTCGTGGTCGTGCATGGACTCGCGCAGGAGCTGACCATCGGTCATGTACTTGAGCATGGTCTTGGGGCCGGTCCTGTTCTCGAAACGGATGCTGTAACCGACTTCCTGGCCCAGCTCGACATCCAACTCGTTCGCGACACGCTGGGCGACCGACATGGCCGCCACTCTTCGGGGCTGGGTACAGGCGATGAGCTTGCCGTTCGTGTGGGGGAGCTCGTCGTAGAGGACGTATTGGGGGATCTGGGTGGTCTTTCCGGAACCCGTCTCACCGACGAAGACGAGGATCTGGGTGTTGTGGTACATGTCGAGGAACTCCTGGCGCTGCTTGTGGACGGGGAGGTCGCGCCTCACTTTGAGGATGTCGAAGTATCTCTGCGAGTGCGGCTGGCCGGTCCACGGGTTGAGGTCCGAGTCCTCAGCCTGGGCGGCCTGGACGGCGGTGGTGCTGTGTCTCTCGAAGGAGTCGAGGGGCGATTCGAAGTCGCCATTGCTGCCGTTGCCGTTACCGTCCTCGTTGAGATGGGCGAGGTAGGGGTTGTACTTTTCGGGGGCAGCATCGCCATTCTCGGCGCGCTTGATGCGCTTCGAGTCCTGGCCGTTGTCCTCCATGTTGGATCTCTTGACGCCTTTGTCGTCGTGGCTGGCCATTGTAGTACCGACCGAGGGCAGCAGGCCTTTTTATCTTGTTTGGGTACAAAACAAAACAAGAAGACCGAAGGAGAAAAAGAGAAGCGGCGATAGGAAAATGGAAGGCGGAGTGTCGATTATGGCACCTCCAGTGGCAGTGATGAACAGTGAAAGTGGAGGGCAGTGGGCAGGCAAGAGTTCCAGTCTGCGAGGCTACAACTTTTTTTTTGTTTGATGTCAGGGCGACCAGACCAGGTCAGTTCCTGGCAGCAGTGACGTCTGGCCAATGGCAAAGGCCAGCGATAAGGTTTAGTGGAGTGAGAGTCTTGGCAATGAGACTGATAAGGATGATAAGCAGGAGATAAGACGGATGGACTCTTTCATCACTGTAGCATTGGACCCTGATGGGCACTATTTTTTTGCACTGTTCTGTGAACTCAGAAGCTTAAAGTCGATGCTGCACTGATGAAGTTTGTGACACTGTAACATTGGTGTATTGGGTTTTGATACACCGAACCGTCCAAAGAATGTTTGAGATTTCTTCCACTCAGCTAGTTCATTTCTCCATGTTGGGATTGATGCCTGTAGCTATACCCCTCCATATTTGTTTACTTTGGGCTTGTGAAGTTTGAAGTTTGACTTTTCCTCCGGCGCTTCTTCCCTGGAAATATCCACTGCCATGGGGTCAGTCCGCTGTCTTTGAAAAAGTTCCATCCGATTTTGATTCCTCTTTCAATTTTCCCTGTGATTGGGTCCATAATCAAGGTTCTTCAGAAAGGTACCTCTATAAGTACTACAGACTATACCTCTATACTAGCCCCAGGGCAGGGACTACCTACCTCCTCTGTACCTACCCCTCCGCTGCTGTACCACCTCAAACCCAACCTGGACATCGCGGGGTTGTTTACATTCTCGTTCAACTCCCTTTCACTCACTCGGATTCACAAAAAAGACCAAGTCACTCACCATGTCTTCAAATCGCGGGTTCAATCCCGAGTCCGAGTCTTTCGAGCAACGGCCGCCCTTCTACATTGGCCAGCATGATTCCCACAGACATGAGTCGCCCACTGAGAACCAGTACGGCCAGATCTTGGACAGTGGTGTAAGTCTTTCTTCACATAAAAAATCTCCACTTGTTAGAGAGATGAACCCTAGGGCAGCAGCAGCAGAAGTATTAACACACATGAGATGAGAATAGTTCAACTTTGTCACCACCCCCATCACCAACGAGCAATTTCACCAGCGCGTGATCGACTTGTACAAGAGCCATCTCCAAGAACGGGAACAGTGGGGCACCGAACGGGGACTCACTGATGCCCAAAAGGCCAACCCTTCGCTGCCACTTCCTACGGTCCCAACCTTGACTGACGACGATACCTCCCTGTTCCCCAGCAGCTACGTTGGCTCTCTCATCGCCTACGCTAGCCCATGGATCGACCTCTGCTCTGCCGATCCCATCATCTCAGACATCTCCCGCCAGGTGTTGAACCTCGAGCTCGCCTACGCCAACTTCTGCGGTTCCAGGACCATCATTATCCCCGGCCCAAGACAGGATGATGGCCGTGCCGTTGCTCAGTATGCCCGGGCGATTCTGGAGGCTCAGGAGGTCGGAGGTCGTGTGAACCTTGTGATCCACCTGCCCATGTACCGCGAGCCTGGCTTGGAGGAGGAAGCAGAGACGCTTTCTGCCCTCCTTGGTGGTGACGGTAGCAACAGCTCCAACTCCAAGGAGGTCGTCAAGACCGATGCCAATGCCAAGGGCACCGAGATCGATCTCTTCAGCACCTGGGACAGCTGGCACACCATCCGGACCGCCTGCAAGTACAGCGGTCGTCTGTTTGTCGCCCTGCGCATTCCCAAGCGAGTACCTGAAAAGGACCTCCAGGAGCGCTGGTTCTCCGAGCCGCTGCACTACCTGACCCTCGACAAGAACATCTTCTCGCTGAACAAGGCCGGCCATCCTTCCCTCACCCGCCACCATCAGGACTTGATCAACCGTTACATGCGCCTCAAGAACCACCCTTGGTTGATCCTGAACAATGTCGGCCCGTCGGCGGAAAGCCTCGTCGAGGCTCCCAGCAAGATGGAGGTTGACTACCCTCCCCTGTCTGAGGCAAGCAAGGCGATCAAGGAAAACCGCAAGCCGTATGCTCCTCCTTACAACGACTACGTCGACTACATGAAGTACCTCGAGAGGCATCAGCCCCCTTACTCGGCCATGGAAACCCCGTCGCTCGTCAGCTTCCAGGACTGGCTTCAGTCCCCCCTCCAGCCGCTCTCCGACAATCTCGAGTCGGCCACGTACGAGGTCTTCGAGGGCGATCCGGTCAAGTACGATCAGTACGAGAAGGCCGTGGCCGAGGCCATGCTCGAGTGGAAGAAATACAACCGGCCCGTCTCCTCCGTGACGCCCGAGACGCCCGACGGCAAGGACCTGATCGTGGCCGTCGCCGGCGCCGGCCGCGGCCCCTTAGTCGCCCGCGTTCTCCGGGCCGCCGCATCCACCAACACCTCCATCCAGCTCTGGGCTCTGGAGAAGAACCAAAACGCCTACGTCTACCTCCTCCGCCGCAACAAGCGCGAGTGGAACAACTCGGTGACGGTGATCAAGACCGACATGCGCGAGTGGGAGGGTCCCCGCCTCGCGGCCAACCCCAACGTGATCACCAAGCTCGACATCCTGGTCACCGAGCTTTTGGGTTCCTTCGGCGACAACGAGCTTTCCCCCGAATGCCTCGACGGCATCCAGCGGCACATCGCCCACCCGCACGGCATCTCCATCCCTTACTCGTACACCGCCCATCTCTCGCCCATCGCGCACCCGCGTATCTTCGCCGACCTCAGCAATCGCGTCGTCAGCGACCCCAACGCCTTCGACATCCCCTGGGTGACACGCCTGTTCCAGCTCGCCTACGTCGCCCAAAAGGTTCCCAAGCACGGCCGCTTCCAGCAGGCCTGGGAGTTTGTCCACCCGGTCGAGGTGTCGCGGGCCGACGACTTTGCGGCCAAGAACGGCCGCGCGCGCAAGTATGTTACGCAGGGCAGCGGCAGCATGTACGGCTCCAGCGGCGTCAACGAGCATAATGCTCGCCATTGCCATCTGACGTTTGTGTGTCCCACGAGGGGCGTGATTCATGGTCTGGCGGGTTATTTTGAGTCAGTGCTGTACAAGCATGAGGAACAGGGGAAGACGCCGGTGGAGATTAGTATCTTGCCGGATCAGATTGATCGGAAGAGCAAGGATATGATTTCTTGGTTTCCTATTTTCTTTCCGCTTAGGGTGAGTCTTTTTTTTTTTTTTTTTTTTTTTTTTTTTTTTTTTTTTTTTTTTTTTTTTTTTTTTTTTTTTTTTTTTTCATTTCTCCCTTTCTTTCCTTTCTTTCTTTCTTTTTTCTTGACTCCTCGCTCCTGCTTGTGTTGGTGACGATTACTGACCTTTTTGTTTCAACCGGTACAGCAACCCCTCTACTTCCCCCAAGACACCGAGCTAGAAGTCAGCATGTGGCGCCAGACCGACGACACCAGGGTATGGTACGAGTGGATGGTGGAGGTGTACGCTTGGGTTGGTCCCAAGACCCGTATCAAGGTTGGCGCTTCCGAGATGCACAGCAGTCGTAAGGTTGCCTGCATTTTTGGTTAGAAGAAGAGAGGAACATAAAATGGAGGTAGCTAGGTGGTGGGCATGGCTGGCTGGGTCGGGTGTTAGGAGTGTAGGTGGATAGAGGTAACAGCAAGAAAAACAAACGCTGCGAGGAAAGGAAAGGTTAAAAGTATTGTTTTAGCGAAAGAAAAAGTTTTCACGACTCTTGTTTTTGTTTTTAGAAACCAGGAAACCAGACGCCAGTTCCGCATGTCTAACTCATCCTGCCTAGTCCCTTTTCTTTGCTCAGGAGATGGATGGTCTTGACAACTTTTCGTTTCTCTTTCTTCTCTGTTCTTTCCGAAGATCATCTTCTAGCTCCCCTTATCTTCGAGGAATGGCAAATAGTACCTTGCTCCTCCAATAGACTTGCGTAGGAGACCACAACGCCCTCTGCCAGATAGATGCCTTGATACCCAACCCTCCACCTTCGCCCTTTTTTGAAGCAAATCCGTCTTCCATACCGCTCACGCCCCATCATGCGGGCGGCGGGCCCGGTACCCCTCCATTCGTAATGCGCATTTTCATAATTGAGGACCAATTTCGGTGAGCGGTGGTTGTGGCCGTGGTTCGGTTCGGTTCGGTCGGTGATAGTAGATCCATCTCTTCTTTAATCACAGGGTATATCGAAACATCATAACCCTCCTCAAACGTTTCCTGTTCTGCCCTTCGCCTTCAAGTTCACTCCTCCATCTTGGTGTCGCCGCCTGTTTCCGCCTCGTCGGCCTTCTTGATGTAAAGAACGTTGTTACACCTGTTGTGCGTGCGCATCGCCATTAGTTCTCTGTCAATGCCAATGATAGGGTAGGGTCATCATATCACTACAAACAGGCAAGCAAGCAAGCCAGAATGACATAACATAACGTACCTGATCAAAACCTGCCCCAACGCGCCCGTAAACTTGCGGTTGATGTACTCCTTCGTGTCGCTGAGCTGGATGTTCATGTAGCTGTCGATGCTCTATGTTGTTCACATGCAATTGGTTAGCTTGTCTCGTGCTATGCTCGTCGGTCCTGCTGTGCTGTTTCCCTCTCCCGCCCTCGCTTTCCACCATCACACCAGGCCGTATGCAATCCAACCAAGAACCAGCAACAAAGGAGGCTTGGAGGCTAGGCTGGGGAATATCGGATACATACAACAAGACGGCCAACATACTCCGTCTCTCCCCACTTCAAGCGAACCGTCACAAGGCTGTTGACGAGATCTTGGAGGAAGGGACGGGGGTTGACTGGGACGAAGGACATGTTTGTCGGTTTTGGTTTGTTTGGTGGGGTTGATTGTTTGGTTCGGGCGCCTTGTGGTGTGTATTCACAGGCTGGCTGGTGGAAGATGGGGCGGCTCGAAAGTTGGATTTCTCTGGATTTCGCGATTCGCTCGGTAGTATTCGTGTGATTTCTTCAAAGTGAAAGACGGGTTGATCGGTTTGACGCGACAAGATCGAGGTTAGTTGTGAAGGTTGTAGGTCGTGAAAAGTTGGGAAGAGAAATGGGATTGGCGTTGATGCTATGATGGAAGAGCTCCAACTGGGACTGCCTACAATGATGGACCTTTGCGGCGTTGGAGTGTAGCGCGACGATGGACGTTCCTCTGTTACGAGGTACGTGTGGAGCCTTGACACGATAAGCTGATTGGATGTGGCGCCAAGCCTGCGTAACTGCCGTATAGAAGGGTTAGGGTTGGTCGTCAGGGGATGGTTGATTTGACGACGACGAGGATGATGGGCATCACGGAGAGACTTAGTTTGATGCAGAGACACAATGATTTCTCTATGTGCATTTGCTCACTCAAGTTTTAGTGCTAATATCTCCATTTGATGCTATTCCAATGCCCATCTACCCACGCCTTCGTGTCACGACCCTCAATGGGGCCAATATTTTGCAAGAGGATGGAAGGAGAATATTTGAATTCTGACGAAACACAAGCCATAACGTGTATGACTTTACCTGGGTGAGGATCTTCTACTCAATCTCCTCGATCCTAGGCCTGCCACCCAGCATCTCAACACCGCCACTACTTCCAGCACTCACACCACCACCAAGGGAAACCGACCTCTCTGGATCAACCACCAATCCAGCCAGCTTCGTCAACCCACCACCACCAAACCCTCCGTCTCTAGCCTGCCTCAGCGACACCTCATCCACCAAACTACCCATCTTCCAATTCTCCAAGCTCTCCAACACATCCCGGCAATACTCCCTTACTAACCCATCCTCATCCGTCCCCTCCACATACCCCAGAATCGTCCTCACCTGCTCCTGCGTCTCACTCCCAAACGCAATCCCCAACACCCTCCCCTCTTGCTTCGCCTCATCCAACGCCTTGATAAAGCTCATAATCAGCCTCACCGCCGCCCTCCTGAGTATCCCCTTCTCCAGCTGTCTCTCGACCTGCACAACATTAATGCACAAATCCACGCTCGCCATAGCCAACACGGCTCCCACACCTGCCAGATTCGTCTCTATACAGTTCGCCAGAATCGACAACGCCGACGCACGAATCCGCACATCCTCCTCGCCCGTTTTGGAAGTACCCGACGACCACCCCTCCACAATCGCCTCCAGAATATCCAACCTTGCCTGCTCTTCAGCAGAAATCGGATCCGCCATATCCGGCACGCTACCGTCCCACGCGTCCTCGGCCTCTTTGTGCTTCTGCTCGCGCACCTTAGCCTCGCGCGCCTGGCGCGCCATGGTCTTGGGCCTATGGCCCCTGCGCGAAGCCAGGCTGATCAGGGCTTCGCATGTCATTTTGGACAGGTCGCCAGTGAAGGTCTGGCCTAGTCGGTCGATGACTTGTAGCAAGGCCTCGCCGAAGCGGAGGCGGGCGTCGACTGTCGCCAGGGCGGATTCGCGCGGGTCGAGGTAGCGGTCGATGAGATCCGTCAAAACGGCGCGCGGGTGGTTGTTGGAGGCGAGTTGGGTGTAGAGCTTGATGCAGCGGAGGTGGATGTAATCTTCCTCCGAAGAGTTAGGCTCGCAGAGGAGGGTGGAGAGCAGGACGAGGATGCCGGGGATGTCGAGGATGGGCGAGTGGGAGGTGATGAGGTTCGAGATGAGGTTGAGACCTTCGGAGCGGACGGGCGGGGGGGAGTCGGGTTGGGTGATGTAGGAGATGGCGAGGGAGTAGGTCTTGCGGTCTTCGATTTGACGGTCGGTGGGGCCGGTTGTGGTGGAGGATGATGACTCGCCTTCGAGGGCGTCGATTTCGTCGCGGTAGCGCAGGAGGAGGGTGAGGTTGGAGGCCGTTTTGGCGTTGTCGTTGTCGCCGGTCTTGGAGAGGGCTTCGAGGGAGGATTCGATGACGCGGAGGACGTCGGGATCGACGCGCTTCTTTTGGAAGCCGGGGACGGTGATGACCATGTTGAGGAGACTGAGTGCTACTCGGATAACTTCGTCCTCTCCGGCCTCTTCCTTGTCTTCTTTGTTGGCTTCTAAGAGCACCTGGCTGACTAGCTCGAGGATGTGTTTGGGTTGCCCGGCGAGCTTCTCGGGAAACTTTTCCATCATGGCTAGAAGGAGCTTGACCTCGGTAAACTGAGCTATCGGGTCCTTCTCCTCCTCTTCCTCTTTGATGATTTGTATCCCGCTCTTTTTCTGGCCTCGAGCTGACTTGAGCCATCGCCCGAAGAGATCGAGGAATACTGACGAGACATCGGCCTCGGAAAAAGCCGAGTCAACCAACTCCAGCAATTTGGGTATCTTTTGGTCGATTTCTGGAAGTGAGAGACCGATGTATTGTTCCCCTGCCTTTTGCAGAGGACGATTGGTATCGACAATCTGGATTTCTCCTTGTTCGGTTTGTTTGTACACCCACTCGGGCTTCTTCTTGTCAAAGCCACCAACGTAACCCAAATTGTGGACGAGCGCTAATAGGACAGGAGCAGAAGGCGAAAGTTTGAGGAAGATCTTGAGTAGTTCCGAAGCGGGTTCCGTGATCTTTTCGCTCAACGGCTTCTCCGAGTTTGGCCAAGTGGTAAGTGCCCAGAGTGGCAGCAGTAAAGGAGAGAGCAGCCGCTTGCACAAGCCAGGGTTCGGGTGTGAAACGATCAGTGCGTGTAGCCGTTGCAGTGCAGTTACTAGGTCCTTCTGCTTAACCAGGACCTTGTCCTTACTTAGGTCAATCACCTCGTCATCATCGCCAGTGTCTGTCTTGGGTAGTCCCCCTGGAGGTGGCTTGATGTGATGTAACAGGGGCTCCGCAAGATATTTCCAGCCGGCAGTGCCTTGACAAGAATTAGCATTTTGCTGCAGGAATATTCGAAAATACAATGAGATGGCATACCTGGCGCACCAGAGACCTTGCGGCCCAGGATGCCGAATCCAATAACATAGGCAACAACCTTCTTGAGCTCAGGTCCCTCTCCTCCATCAAGCAGCGCAAACAACTGCGGTGCGATACCCGAGTACCACTCATCCGGAGTTACGGTAGAAGGCGGTGACGACAAAAGATTACTGGCCAACACAAGGGCCTCGTGGGTGATGTTGGCGCCTCTCTTCTGTGGTACGGCGGCCTCGGACAGCTTGACGGTGCTGGAGGGATGAACAGCAAAGGCAAATTCCAGACTAGCCCTAACGCCTTCCTCGCGGAGGGGTATCACCGTCAGGTATTCCCTGAGCTTAAGGCGCAACCAGTCGGGGGTGTTTCCGGGCCTGATGAGGATGTTCAGGGAGGCCAGCAATGATAGTGTCTTGGTCCTGTAGAGGTAGTCACAGGTCAGACTGAGCCGGACACCTTGGGGCTAAAAGGTGAGGAGGCTTGCCTTTCAATGAGAGCCTCGAAATCACGAACAGCTTGCGCCCGCGCTTGCGAGTCACCCCTTGAGTCCGGGTTGAACGCTTTCCCACCGACGTCCATGATCTCCTCCATCAGCCTCTGGCGCGCAGTCTTTTCCGTCTTCTTCTTGTCGCCGCCTCCCATGGCCTGCTTGAGCGCAAGCTCTTCGGGGCTGAGGTCTAGATCCATAGGGTCCGCCATCGTGACAACTGAGTGGTTATCACCGAGAAGAAGTGAAAAAACAGTCCTTCTTTATGCTTTGATAGACGAGGATGTCAACCGGGTGTTGATCCTTTTTCGAGTCGAGGACGTTGATTAATCAGCACTTGAATCGGGAGTCCGCCTCTTGAATTCGTGATATTGATAAGTGATAGACTAACTATCTAGGTGTATAATTTCATAGCGATCCCGATATGAGTGAAGTGATATGCTTGGCAACTTGTATGAGTTCAAGGTTTCGTTGCCGTGGCGAGGCGTGGAAGGTGAAAGAAGATTGGCCCATTGTTAAGTGGTAGAAGGTACCTGCCATTCGCTAAACGTACAGTGAAGAGCACCCGTGACTTCGTGCCTGTCTCATTGGCGCACGGTGCACAATGAGGCAGGTGCACAGCGCGTTGCCAGTCGTATCTCACAGTTCCAACGCGTCTTCCCAACGTTCCCCTCCTTTCTCTTCTTCTCTTCTTTCAACCAACACAGACAACACCTTCGACCTCCAATGCCCAACCATATTGATCCTCGCAATGCCCGAATGGGCCCAACCTCAAGTCGGTCTCTGTTTCGATCCTTGGAAATCCACCCGAAATACAGTCAGATGTCAATCCTGTCGAGTTATACAGTCAAAACGCGCTGGCCCGGACGACGACGACAGCCATTCCCATCGAGTCTTTCAACCCTCTTTCAGAGCACGACGCCTCCCCCACAGTTCTCCGATTCCAGTTTTCCCGTAAAGGAATGTCCTTAGTGGCCGCTCGGGTGTTCGGTTTTTTCCGCAGTACGTCGCAGCTTCGAGTCCTGTATCAGGAGCCTTCTCAAGCTTTGCCGCGCATGGGATTACTGCGGATTTCGGGATTCTCCCACCTTTCCGGCGCCCATAGTGAATTGGTCTCGGAACTTAACCCTAACTATACACTGGTTACACATCCAAGTCTTGCGCGCTCCGGCAGTCAAATCTAACCTTCGCCTTCTACGTCTGCGTCATCGTGGTGTTTGCTTTCGGGGTCTATGGCGCCGCTGAAAAGTTGCGTCCTCTAGGCTCTTGGTATTCTACTGGATGGCAAGGGCTGACCGGCAAGGAGAGAAGTTTCCAGTCATCTTGTGCCACTTCGGTGCGCAGATGGGCGAGGTGTCCGGTCCCATGAGTCAAAAGCTGGTAAGAACCTCTGGCCTGAGGTCGCTCGTCAGGACTGGACCACTGGACGCAGTACTCTGGTCACCATAGCGGGTTGTTCTGCAGATGTCCTGTGGCTAGGTATACCGCGTTGGGGTAGGATACATTTGGGTGCCCTGCCATGCCTGTCATCCAGAAGTTCTTTCTGGCTCTGACTCTTGGGGCTTTGCGTTCGCAACGCATGCTCTGTGGAGTGACGAGGGGAGAGCGAAGATATGGCTACATACGATCACATCCCTCATTTCATCTTTCGCGTCTTCAGCTTGCCTCGCCTGAATCACTGCACTTGTGTGGTGAGCGGGGGCTGTGTGACTACAAACGGAAATGCTGGGAAGGATTCTTTCACGCCTGTCTGTCGCGCTCTCTGCACCCTCCGATTTCTCTTGTATCGCATGCGCAGGGGCGGATACCCACTTGTACGCCTTCCTCCCGGATAACCTCCACCGACTCTGTGGAACCGCGTTCGGCAACATACCGTCAACGTGTCATTGGCTTTGTGTCATTGAGATCCCCGGCCAGGCGCATTAACCGATTTGCACGTATGGCCTCGTCCTACGTCGCGAATTGGACGCCAGAACCACGTTTGTTCAAATCTTTGATCCGAAAGGAGAGAAGCTCTTTGACAGACACCTTCCTTTCGACTGGAGTGCGCTGAAAAGTTCACTTCCGGGAGAAAGATGATAGCACGGTTTTTGAGGACGCATTTTGTCCGTGCGGTACTACCCTCCTTTACACTTTCCCGGCTGGTGCGGGAGTGCGGAGAGGAAACAAAAGCTAGTCTCAGTTGGCAGTGTTCTACACACGGAAAGACTCATGGGACGATTATCTCGACGATCCGGCTATCGATTTGGCTGCCGACATTTGACGATTGCTGTGTTAATGACGGTGCGGTTTTCTTTGGAGGGTTGAACAGGTCCGCCATGGCTTGCTGGTTTGGACTGTGAGAGTGGTGGCTGGGTGTCTTTTAGTAGCCTCTGGGGGTGTCCGCGTCCGTGTCCGTGTCCGATCGGGGGAAGAAGAGTGTTTTTTTGGGCCAGACTTGTTGAGAACCAATGCTTTTGCAGCCCTGGATTTCGGAGGACGGTAGTTGTGGATTTCTAGGGAAGAGAACCAAAGGCCGGGACCCATCTCGAGTTGGAGTCAAAGTTTCGTACTTGTCTGGCCTTCGGATCCCCTCTTCCTTGGTCTTCGCTTCTGGCCTAATCTGTGTCCTTGCGGAGGCTAGCTTTGCTGTTTGGAGTTCTGGTTCTTTAGGATAGGGGACTGGCTTCTTGGGAGGTGGTCCCCGGTTGTTCCTCGTTCCTGAAAGATGGCGGGAGGAACAACCCCTCTGCATTTTTTGAGGATAAGTCTCCCTCCACTTCCAAGCTCCGGTCTTCGGTTGCCATTCACATGGTCCGGTACTGACGTTGAAGTATAGGTATCCTAGACTCAAACCCGTAGGGGCGTGACCGGTGCCGACGCGGCATTGTCCAACTGGTAAGTCCTTTCTTCCCCATACGCACCGTGATTCTCAGCAAACGTCTGTGCGGCATCGTGTGATATTGAGTTGCGATATGCGGGCTGTCCGCCAGTGTTTTAGAGGAATGCCGGACGTTTCAATATTCTCCGGGATCTCAGATATAACGGCCGTAAGTGTCGATCGGTAAGGTGAGGTATTCACACTACCGGTGTGGCGTAGCGTGGTAGCCTTGCTTGCTTGCCTAGGGAGCATCTTCTGGTATCTCGGTGCCGGTTGGCCTCGTGCATCATCACATCATTCCCAAAATGCCGTCTTGCCTTTGTCCCCGAAGTCTCCGTGATTGTCCATGTCGGAGACGGTCCAGGGAGATGATATCGTTCGATGTTTCACCCAACGGTCCCATTGGGAAGGGAGAGAAAACGCCATGCCGTTACATCCTTGTAGGGATGTTTGGTGGGGGTACCGGGGGGTGACTGGGCCCATCGAGGTCACCGTGTTCCCATTCCGTCTTTTGTTCTACGGCTTGATATGCCGCTTTGATGACGCGGTTTGGAAGATGAAGCCATCAGAACATGTTCCCACACTCAAGCACCTTGACAGTTGCCAAGACTCAAGCACCTTGACAGTTTCATGAGCTGACCACAACTTTTTGGCAAACGGACCATCGAAACGAAAGACGAAAATCAAGAAACTCAATTATATCATCAGAAAGAGTACTCTCTTGATAGTTTCAAGCACGCTGATGTTGAATCTACAATCATTTTTCTTTCATCTCCTCATTTGGTGGAGATATGGGCAAATGAAGTCTTGTTCTTTTCGTTTCGATGGTCCGTTTGCCAAAAAGTTGTGGTCAGCTCATGAAACTGTCAAGGTGCTTGAGTCTTGGCAACTGTCAAGGTGCTTGAGTGTGGGAATGGAAGCTTCCGTGCCTCGTGTTCACACTGCACTATGCTTTTCGAATCCACCAACGTTCCGTTAACGTCGGGCCATTCAGCGAAGCTACGAAACAGTGAAATATCCAGGCGAGACTACCTATCAAGCTAATCCTCACCTGATCTCGGCCCTTTTTCGTTTTCTTTTCAAGCTTCCAAGATACTAACATCGAAAAATACCGAAATCGAAACCGTTCCCCTTTCCCATTTTGTTTAGCTTCCCGTCCTCCGTCAACATTGTTCCACTTCGCACTGCTATTTTAAGCAAACAACGCCAAGTTTTAGTGCTCAAACAGTGTTACATAGTTCCAACGGTTTTTTTTCCTCGGCGCTAACGGAGTTTCCGATCCATACTGTATGTAGTTCGCATACGAGTGCCGGTTTCGTTTCGTTTCAAAATGCCGGGCAAGTTAGGGATCGGTTCATGCGACAGACAGATGGCCGTGCGTACGGTATTGAATGGGCATGAATCGGGACCGTGACAAATTGGCGGTGATGATGGCTTGCCGTGATATGGTTTGTTTGGACGCTTATATATTGTGGTTTGAATGCTTCGGCCATAAATGCCTGGCTTTATCCCGTCTGGTTAGTCTTTTCTACGTCAAAAATCGGACAGTCTCGAGATGACTTCTTCAACTTCCTTTTCTTGTTCAAAGGGGTTGACATCGTATCCTTACACTCAAACGTGTACGTAGTATCAGTAACGAAACCCGAGCATGATGATCTGATGATCATAGTCGACGGCCTGTGAGGAGGGAGTGACAACTTCAAACTTGCAAATCTCTCGGGTCGAACGAAGCTGTGGTAAAAGGCGGGGGAATATGCCTGGTGAGCGGCTCTGCGTTCCATTCCGTCTTCACGATGCGTCTTGGGACTTGTTTCAACGACAATAATCGTAATTAGGTACTCTCAGAGAGATCTCGAAACCCGCATTCTTGAGACAGACATGGTATGTTGTTTAGGTAACTTGTAAGTGCCGGTCATTGTTTGTCTAGACTGCTTTTCTGACCAACAAAGATGTAAAAACCCCGTCAAACGGCCTTTACCGAAACCATCCAGTACTGTATCCCCAAGCAAAATTGTCGAGAAAATCGAAGACTGTTTCGCGGTGTACACCATTCCTTCGCAACCATCGGCAAAGGCCGGGGATAACGGGCAGTTCGGCACTCCTGTGCCACAGTATATGTGTAAACATATCACCTATATCTATAACAGTGGCAAGAGAACAGAGTAAGACAAAGTACTCCGTCAGTCAGTCAAGCTTGTTCACAAACCATAAATACGCAAGGAGATTCAAACGGCACGGCATCTACACGGCACGGGACGGTGCCGAACTTGGGCCGGGACGGACTGTTGGTTTGTTCTCTTCCCTTTCCTCTCCCGTGTCCTTTCAAACTTCTTGTTGTTCCATTGTATCCAGAATACTTTTATCGTAATTAAGCATCACGGCGGGAAGTTCGACGGGAAGTTGAAAGGAAGGGAGGACTCAGGAGCAGTGAGACATGTCAGAACTTAGAAATTACCTAGCAGTTATTTGGGTTAAAGCTCGTCCATAACTTTGTGGAATTTGTTACGCACTGTGTTCGCAGCAAGTTGTTGAAGTGTCACCGAGTGTCGTTCTGTTGGATCCAACGTCTTTCATTCCTTTCTTTCTTTCTCGATTGTTCTTCCCGTGTCTCGTCATGTGCATAGATAGGTACAGCGGTTAGTCGGCCTGTATACTAAACAGTTCACTAATCACCCCACTACATGTAAGTACGTAGGCCGTACGTAGGTTCTTGGCTCGTATCCCTTACCTTCTGTCTGCCGGGATTTTCCAGCTAAGTAGTCAAAAGTTTGTTAACACCTTCCACCTGGGTGGTGTTCCCCGAATCCAGAGTATAAGCACGAGCATGTGAGTGGGCATGAACATAGGAATGGGCATGATCAAAAACATGTGAATGAGATAAGCTAGGCAGGCTCTCGTCGAGGATTTTCAGAAGCGAACTCGCTTGTGGACTAAACATGCACATCGTATCTGTCAATGCGGGCAATAGCGTTACATTGACATTGGTATGGTCAAGAAGAAACTCCATCGTACTTGATTCGGTAATCGGCCATCGGGAAACAACAAACAGGGGTGGCATTTACCGGTACGTAACTGTAACTAACATGTGGATGTGGGTGCGTTGATATGGGATGTTTGGGTATGTGTGTGGTAACGAACATGTGGATTTATGTAGTAGGTGTGGGTGGTATTCTAGACGCCGGTCCTATTTCCCGGTGAAGCCGTGCCTTGTCGGATTTATGCGTTGTCATTCTCAAGGTGTCAAGTTGTTCCATAACGGTTAGGTAGTAGTCATAAATGGTCAGTTATGAGGTGAGAGAATGGAATGGGTGAACTGCGTGGTCGATCATTGGAGCGTGTGGGAAGCTTCTGATGGTGCTGCATGCATTCGTGGCATGGTTATTCACAAGATAGCAATACACTTTGACTGAGATGATGATTCCGTGTGCTGCTGCTAAAAGAGAAATGCAATCAAGAAGAAACCCAGTGCCCTTTGAAGCTCCGTATATATGAGGGGGTATCAAAACAGCAATCTCATGGCGCCTAAAACACGCCGGTATCCAAGTCCTTCCTTCCCCCCTTTCAAGAAAATCATTCGAGCCAGTGTCTTCCCGTGTCGAATCTCCGGCACAAAGGTAACCCGTAAAACGTGATAACCCATGGATATTTCTGTCGATCTTTGTGTGCTTATGCGTACTGTATGTCTCCTCTTTCCACCTAGCTCATTCTGTGAGCGCCTGTCGTGACCATGACAGGCCGAGGTGTATCAGTTGTCGTCATTGTTGTAGGATAGACCTCGGGAGGAGACCCTCTAAATGCCGGAGTGAAATCACCAAGGCTGGTGTTGCTACCGCCCATAGATGGATTGTCGGTCTTGAGTGTTGGTTCGAATCCAGTAAAGACGGGAGGGGCAACCCAGGCTGATTCGTAGGACAGCATGCCATCTAGCGCCCGAGGTACGCGAATCTCGAAGCGTGTTGCCGATGGGACGACTTCCGATTCTTCTCCCCGTCCCATGGCCTGTCAGGAGGTTAGCATATGGGGCACCCTATAGGGAAAAAAGCTTGATTTTACCAGGCAAGTAGCACAAGCAGCGTAGTTGACCCAGACCCAATTCATGCAGTTGTAAGTGTAAAAGTGCTTGCACCGATACTTGTAGAAACCGCCACCTTGACCGCCGCCGCTGCTCATTATGGCTAGTGTTGTGGTAGGATTTTAGAAAGGTATAAGTCTGCAGAATAATGCTTGTGGAATGTGGAGTTAAGATATGTCAAGTAAGCTGTTGAATTGTTTGAAAAGGTGTGTGTTATGATACTCTGGAAAAGAAAAAGCAACGAGAACAAGAAAACCAGACCACTTATATATACATAATAGGCGACCCCAGAACGACGGCTGCTACGTATGGACATGGGATATCGGGCCATTCCACATGGCGAGGGGAACAAGGGCCCTCGGAGACGTGCCGACGGGTGTCCGACCCTGACAAGGCATGACAAGGGTAACGGGGTCGAGCCTCAAAGACACTGGGCTGTTGCTGTCAAAGGAGATGCCTATTGCCTTGACAGGTCTTGGTATCATTAAAGTGATGTATACGGAGCCATGTTCAAGTTCCACGCTTGGGTGAGTAGCCCTGTTATGGCTGCCGTCTCACGACTCTGGGTCATGGGTACGGAGCTTGGTCTGGTGTCAGTCTAACGGTGCATTATGATACTGTGGACGGGATATGAAGTGGAAATATGGACAAGCAGAGGAAGCTAGCCAAGAGGAAGAAGACGGATGCAGTTTCCAGAACCTCAAGACGGGAGTTCTGGGTCCAGAAAGAGGTCCATTAATTGCAAGGGGCTATAGCTGATACCCCATGCTAGCCTGTTTGATTCCCAACCTTGGCCAATGCCAAATGCTGATGAAACAAAGATTCGGCCGAAGAGCGTTGAAAGGCAGTCAGAGAGGCCAATGCAGAAAAGAGACAAAAGAATACATTGTTGGTCACATCGAAACCCCCACCGTGGCACCTTGATGGGCTGCTTTTGAAAGTGATCCATGGCGCGATACGTCGATAGACGATGCTGAGTGGCGGCGGTGGAAGCCAACCACAGTCTTCAAGTCGTCCCCTCTCCAACCATCAGGAGGATTGATAGACGTGATGAGGATGTGAGGGAGACGGGCCGGGGAGACAATCACGCAGTACGCGATGTTGTACGACAAGACAAGTAGAGTCCATGCGGGCCGTAACGGGACGGGATGGCCATGAAAATGGTCTCTCATACACTCATTCGTGTTGAGGCTGAAATGTCGGATCCAATGGGGAAATTTGGAATGTCTCAGTCGCACGTTGGTTGGCGGCGGGATGTGGGAGAAGGAAAGGTGATGTTTCAATCCAAGCCCAAGTTGAAGATTGGAAGTCGAAGTCGGACTGACAGCGACAAGAGTGGCCCTTCCCCGCTGAGGATTAGCGGGGATCGATCCGCCAGATGTGCAAGCTCTGATTGGTCCAAGTCAAACCGTTGCTGCAACGCTAAACCAGATCGGGCTAAACCAAGCACAGGTACCGAGCCAGCTAACTTCAAGGGCGAAGTGTCAGCTTCCATGATGTTTCAACCGACGTCGATGATCATCGCTAAATTGTAAATTCCCCTTTTCTGTTTCCACTGCCCAGGTCACAACCTCGATTTGGCAACTTCTCCTTCCTCCATCTCCATATTCATCTTCGCCGTCGTCGCAATCGGACCAGAACATTACCCCTGGAAACCGGGCTGAGACCGAAACCCTTCAACGTCTTTTTCCCCATGATGTCGATCACGCACCAAGACACCACCAAACCACGGAATCAGCCGTCGCCATTTCCTGCCCGAGGCCATTCATTTCCCACTCGCATTCACACAGTACAACGAGCACAACTAGGTGGTTATTACACGACAAACAAGCGACACAGGTGGTGACGGCTTGATGCTTGCCTTCTAGAAGCCCATGTGTTACACAGCATAGTCTTTACCCCTTCTTCCTCATCATCCTGTCTGTCTATCTTACCCCTCACCCCTCCCCAGCCGATTTCAAGCTCACCGATGAGTTTCATCACCTTCGCGTAGAGTGAAGACAGCCCGACTCAGTCTTTGAAGAAACGACGGAGAGCAATTCAAAGCATGACTGAGCAATAGATTGGTATCTCCTGACATCAAGCGGCTGAAAGCATTGTTCATCATGATGGTGTCTCCGACTGTCCCGTCAAAGGCATGTGATGCTATCGCAGAGCTTACCAGCCGTTGGCATAGAACGGCGACCTGCTCATCGTGGCAAATTCGTCCCCGTTGCTTCCCTTTTCCCGCAACGACAGCAACGAATAGACTATAAGGAGGCAGACGACATTATGATTCCGTTGTCTGATAAGGCTCCCAGCTCCAACAATCGCCACCATATAACGAACTCATATTGTACTACTTGAACATCACTCCACCCTCATCGCTTAGTTCAAGTTGAGACTGGACGGATTCCCCCTTTACATATACGTGAAACCTCCGTGAGCCATTCCCGCCAAGTCGTCCATGTCGAAGAGCAAGGTTTTAATTTGTGCATGCGAGGATCTTTTTGGCATCCAGATATCAAGCTCTGCTACTGCTTCGGCAAAGCCGCATACAGTATGGCGGACATGCACATATTGAGTCTGCACGCCATCACTGCAGCTGTCAGGCAGAGACAACGAAATGGGGAATTAACTGCGAGCAGCCGATGGATGGCAAGGAGTAGCAATATTTTTCCACAACTTTCAAACCGCAAAAATCCAGCACTTGTACATACTACTCTATTCAAGTGATCAATCTCTCCTGTCGTTTGACTTGTCCTGTATCGCTGGACTTATTGCCGACCTTTATGCCTGTAACATACGGGTTAGGGTTAACGGAGGAGATGAAACTCGACTGTGTTTGTGTAACCAATCAGGTCAAGCGGAAGGTTTCCCGGTCTTGTCTTGGCATCGTGACCGCGCGTTTCAATGTTTAATTGCTTCGTCCCAAGACGCGTCTCGCCTGGCAACCACGAAGTCGCCGCCCCGCTCCGGAACGACAACATTGACAGCTACATCATCCATTTGTTTTATAATATCTTCAGTGTTAAATTGCCCAGAAATGGCTCCCATGAGGGAGATCGCCGCTTCGGATGATGAGGAAAGCGATTTCGACCACATCGACGACCCGATCGACGACGCCATTGACGAGATCCAAGACGCGCCCGCGCCCGCGCCCGCGCCTGTGCAGCCCAACGAAGCTCAAGAAGGGAACCAAAGTCACCATGATGTTAGCAACGTATCGACAGACCTGTCCTTCTTCCAGCGCGTCTATGACGAACAAAGAGCGGTCACGATCGCAGGAACCTACATCGGCACCAACATCGCCACCCAAGGACACCAGCCTGCTCAAAAGAGCGAACAATCCTCCTCGATAACTGACCCGGTACCCGCCAGCCGTCGACCGCTTAAAAGAAAGATAGGCGATAATATCATCGATCTAACCGAGCTCACTCAGGTCACCACTCCTAGAAAAAGCGGCGACGGGAAAGGGAAGACCAGCGAAGGTGTAACCACGGGTGGTGTACTACAAGAATCCGGTTCGGTACAACAGGCGGTACGAACATACGGCAAGCACACACAACCAACTCCCGAACAGAAGGAAGAGATACCGCGACAATCAACAATCGTACGAATCGACCCCTACGAGTTCCCCGACGACGGAGACAATGACTATACAATCCCTTCAATCCCCAAGAAAAAGACAAAGACAACGGCGAAACGCGCTTCGCCAACCTCGACCAGCAGTCTTCCCGTGGCGAATCCAAATGCGACACCCGATCACGATGACATCAGCTTCATCCCACTACCCCCGTCCGAAAATGCGCCTTCTTCCGTGGTCCAACTCCGTAGCTACCAGAAACCAATATCAAGCGAAGAGAATGTCTCGACAGGCAGCTTGTCTGCCACTGCGCCGCAGCGCTTATACATCGCTCCTAGTACCCTTACGGCCAGCCAGAAAGAAGAATATAGGATAGTCAGCTTGTCCACCCAGGGAACACAAGATAACCTGGCCACACAAGACATTTGGGCCACACAAGAAAACATACCTCCAGAGTCTTCGCTACCTACTGTATCGCCATCAGATCCGTATCCACCCCAAATGTTCGGAGAAGGACTACTATATGCCGGGGCCGGGACTGCGTACAAGTCGAGTGGCATGACTACTGTTGCGCTCTCTCGTCTCAGCGATTCCATACGCGACAACGGTGATGGTGCGCTGGATGCCGCAGCGACAGCTATGATGACTCTAACATCGGGTCTGGGATCGGGTAGTTTAGAGATGGGGACGCCGGCGAGAGTAAGAAAAACTTTTCCGGCCTCTTCTCCGGATGTCATTGGTGGAGCATCGCCTGGAACGCGAAGAAGTGGGAGGAAGAGGAAGGCTAGTCAGTTCTTTGAGGAAGATGCGACTCAGGATACTATCCCCTTGAGAAGTAGTCGGTTGGCAGAGATTCGAGAGATGAGTGCAGAGGATAACGCCGATTACGCTCCTGACGCAACGGATACTCATCAAGCGTCCGTAATTCTCGGCAATGATCAGTTGCAGAATGAACGAATCACCGAGCAACCTACTGATGCTACTGCGCCCAGCAGTACCATCAAAAAGAAGAGAGGGCGAAAGAAGAAGGAACCTGTCCCAACGGTTACCGAGGAAGAGGTTTTTATGGACAATAGCTTTGAAGGTACCGAATATCAGCAACCAGAAGAGGCCCTTTCTGAGCCTGCGGAGCCTGAACAGCCACCACCAAAAAGAAGACGTGGTCGTCCACGAAAGTCTGACGTCGTCGCCACTCAAAAGGCCACCAAACAACCGACTCCAGCGCCCGAACCCGATGAGGGAGACGAGCTAGCATCACCCGCACCAACAACAGCCAGGAAAAGGGGTGCCACCGACACCAACACAAGGAAACGAAAAGCGTCTGCGCCTATAGTCATAGACGACAGCGAAAGTGATGGAAACCTCTCCGATCCACCGGAAGAGATGTCAGAACCTGAAAAAGAAGCAGAAAGGGACCCCTTTGAAGCGGAGCTGGAAATACCTCCAAGTGACGAGGACGAAGAGGAAGAGGAAGAACCTCCACGTAAACGTGGCCGGCCAGCAGCAACAGCAGCAGCGGCAACAGCGGCATCAACAAAAGGAAAAAGAGGCAGGCCACCTAAAAACAAGGCGTTGCAGGAGGTCTCGGCCTCTTCTGCAAGGAAGAATGGCCGCTCAAAGTCGAAGGTCCAGGCGGAGTCGGAAGGCGATGATCAATATCAAGACCTGAAAAAGGATCTAGAAGAAGAAGGAAATGAAGAAAGTAACAAGGGTACCCGGGAGGAAACCACTCCTGTCCCTGAGGCAAAGCCTCCTCCATCTCCTGAATCTGTTACGAAGGAAGAAAAGGAGGACAGGGACAGGGACAAGGACACGAAGAAGGAGAAAGAGATTATCAAGCCCACGAACTTTCTGTCAACGCAAGGCAAAGTCAAGTACAGAGTGGGACTGAGCAAGCGGTCGAGGGTGGCGTCGCTGTTGAAGGTTGTGCCGAGGAAGCAATGATGATGATGAGAGGAGCCGTCTATCAGTCATAAATTGTTTGGTGATAGTATCTGCTTGTATATACAAGGCTGTCATTCATAACAAGCTTACACCACTGTATCCAATGATAATAATGACTCACGCTAGGTATCCTTCTTCCTACCTTACTTGGTTATATAACCATCATTTGAATCCGATCATGACGGAGCATACGTACTACCAACACCCTACCACCTCAGCTACACCTTACTAACATTCACACCTGCCCCTTCCCATTCCCAACCATTCTGCTACATCAGGTTAACAAGTCTTAAAAGAAAAAAAGAAGAAAGATGTGCACCCACCACATAACCCGCCTCCTCTGCCCCCTCTGCCGCCTCACCCCAACCCTCACCCTAACCTCCGAAACCAAGTGTCCCTCCGCCGCCGCCGCCGCCGCCCACGACGACCCCTCCCACAAAACCTTCACTCCCAAAGAACACTGCCTAAAATGGTCCAATAAAGAAGTCAAATCCATCGGTAAGGAGCCGTGTTGGGGGTGTAAGGTGCAGGAAGAGAAGAAGGCTTTGGGAGGGAGACCTATGGTGGAAGCAGAGGAGGAGGAAGAGGAAGAAATGAACGATAATGAGAATGACCTCGAGCCGTCACATATACAGAAAGGCCGGGCGGAGCGGGTACTGGAAGATATGAAGAGGAGGAGGTTGCGGGAAGGGCTGGGGCCTGAGGGGCCTAAGGGGGGTTAGGGGCCCGGGGGGTAGAGCGGAGAGGGGGATGGATGGAATGGATGGGAGAGGGGAAGGGAAAGAGAAGGAGAAGGAGAATGAAAATGAGAAAGAGAATGAGTCGGAATCAGAGGAGGTGGACATTTTGGAGGGGATGCCGGTTGGGTGGAGGGGAGCACAAGGGAGGAGGTGAGGAAAATGGTGGAGGAGGAGGAGCGAAGGTACTGGGGTAATGGGATGAAAGAGATTAGCGAAGATAAACGATGGGGGTAGGTACGTTGGAAGAGTTGGTGTTACGGGGGTGAGTAGGTGGTTTAGGTTGAGTGTTAATCAGATAGCTTGTCTTGTGACTGGAGCTCTAGCTTAGGATAATTCATATCAATGACTGATGATCAACAGTTAGAACCGTGATAAGTTTCCGTCATGTTTTACACGGCATGTATACACTACGATATGGCCAATGTGATACAATCAACCACAGCTACAACTCCCCAAATAACAAACTAATTCACTTCATCTACTCTATCCCACTCAAAAATCACCTTCACCTTCGACCACTACCCGATCCTCGCATCCAGAGCCATCATCTCCGCCTCATCATCCTCATCCATCTCATAATCACTAACCCTGTCCCTCTCCTCCTCCAACCGTCTCCTCTCCTCCTCCTCCCTCCTCTTCCTCTCCCTTTCCTCATCCTCCCTCTGTGTCCTCAACTCCACAATCAAATCCTCCGCCATCTTCTCCTGATGCCTCTTGAGGTCCTTCATACCCCAAATACTCACGCCCTCCTGATCCTTGGCACTAAACGGCTGCGCCATCTGCTTGAGGAACGCCCGCGCAGCACCCACCGCCATATCCGTGCTCAGATTCGTGTTCGCATCCAGCAAAGCTTGGTTGATCCACTTGGGCAACTGATGGCGCTTCTTCATGAAGCGTCTGTCCGCCAGCACCATCACTCCATAGTCGTCCTTGCCGCGCAAGACGCGACCGAGGCACTGCGCGGCGTGGCGCATGGCGTCGAACGACAAAAAGTCGTTCTCGCGGATGCGGTACGTTTCCCTCAGAAATTCCAAGCGGGCCTTCAGGATGCGCGACTCGGTGTACTGGAACGGCACGCCGATGCACAGCACCGTGCGGCCGTACTGGTGGTCGAAGTCGATGCCTTCGGACACTTTGCCGCGCGCGACGCAGAGCAGGACGGCGCCGCGGCCGTTGCAGCAGGCTGTGCGGTAGGTTTCGAGCGCTAGGGAGGTTTCCTGCGCGTCGGGCGTTTCGACGAGGATCAGTTTGTGCTTCCAGACTTCGTCGAGGATGCCCATGCCTTGCCACATGGAGATGATGGATTCCATGTATAGGTAGGAGGGGAAGAAGACGACCATGCCGTCGGGCGTCATGCGGGCGAATTCGGTTAGCAGGTTGCCGTAGTTGCGCACGACGCTGGGCTCGTTGCGGACTTGGAAGGAGGTCGAGATGGAGGCCTGGTCGGAGCCGCGGGTGACGATCATGGGTAAGAAAGAGCGGCGGGCGAGGGTCATGGAGTAGGATTCCTGGACGACGGTGGAGAAGTTGAGCATTTTGGGGTACATCTCGAGAGGGGAGATGGTGCCGGAGGTGATGATGACGGAGCTGAAGCGGTCGAAGACGGGCTTGATGGCGATGGCGGCGTCGAGGCAGGTGAAGTGCAGGACCGGGTTCGGGGTCTTGGCCGTGTCGGATTCGTAGGGCTCGAGGATCAGGAGGAAGCCCTTCTCGTAGGTGGCGACGAGGGTTGCAAAGGTGGCTACTTCTTGGAGGGGCCGGTAGTCTTCGATGTTGGTGAGTTCGAGGGTCCGGACTAGCGAGGTTAGACGCTCAGCGCAGAACCGGAGCGGTTTCTTCTCGATGAAGGTGTATTCCTTCAGATGGGCGAGGAACGATGGTGGCGTTTCCGAGATGACCTGGCGGACCTTCATGCGAGTCTTGAGGTATTCAATGAATCTCCTGAGGAAGGCAACGAAGTGCTCGGCTCGCCTGATATTGCCGGGGACGGCCTCCTTGAGCAGATCGTCGGGTAGTGTTGGGTTGGCCATGAAAGCATCCTCCTGTCGCCCTTCATCTAGACCCTTGAGCCCTTCAACCAGCTTTTCGTACTCGGATTGGAGTTTCTCTTGATCGGAGTCCTTCATCTCGTTGATTTTGGCCTCCAAGTTCTGAGCACCTCTGGTAGCCCTCATAAGTGAATCCTGGGTAATGTCGGTACTTAGAGATTCGATACAGACGTTGTCGATGTTGTGAGCCTCGTCAAAGACGACAATGCAGTCCTTGGATAGATTCTTGGACACACGCTCGGCGATCTTGGGGTCTAGGAGGTAGTGGTAGGAGTAAATGATGACGTTGCAGTATTCCATCTACACGTAATCCGTTAGCAACAATGCCGAAGATATCGAGTGCTTTAAAATGACATACCATCCTCCTGGCGGTGAAATACGGACACTGCTTCTTCTCCTCACCATACCTCAACAGACCATCCAGGGTCCAAATTCCGTTGGGGATCAGGTTATGCGGTTCAAGAAGGTCGAGGTTGTCGTGGTAGACGCACGTCTCCACATTCTCGCCCTTTTCCCTCTTCTCCTTGACGAAGCCGGCCGTCAAGCTGCGACACCTGGCGTCGACAATGGCACCACTCTTCTCCCGCTTGACCGAGGGATGCAGACACAGGTTCTTTCGACTTGTCAGACCGAGACCGCGGAACTCTTCTTCGTGCCCGAGCCGCTCGGCTCTGAACTTCATGAGCGCTCTCAGCTCGACGAGGGCCTTTTCGATTTCGGACATTGTTCGCGAGCAGTAGATCAGCTTCCGGTGCTCTGGGTAGTATTGCTGGTAGGCGACGATGAGTGACAAAAGGGTGACGGTCTTGCCGGTGCCCGAAGGCATTTCCAGGACGCAGTTCCCGCCTGCATCGAGGGTTTCTGTAGAGGTGGTTAGTGAGCGTGTGATGAGTGTGAATTGTTTGTTGAATGCTCACTTTTCAAGTCCACCATGTACGCATATTGTTCTATAAGGCCAGTTGGTCAGCACTTGTGATGGTGTGCCATCTGTATGAGCTCACATACCTGGATATATCCTTGGGTAAGGAAACAGAACTGGTAGATCGCTGTGTTCACCGGCATGTTAGTTACGTGGCTTTTTACAGACCAAGAACGCGTCATCTTGGATTCGACTCTTACTCGATGTTGAATTCCATGGTGGGCGTCTAGTATCACGGCCTTGGATACAGGGACAAAGTGAAGGGATTAGGAATGGCTGCGAAGACCGCTGTGTCTACTATGTCGCAGAATATCTAACCGACGCGGATGTCCGGGGTGAGAAATGCGACGGGGCTGATGTTCAATAAAATCGTTCGATGTTCTATTTCGATGTCTGGTTTGGTGAGAAGCGAGAAGTCGTGAAATCGAGGTCAACTTTTAAGGTAGATGCACTGCCTGTTGTCTGCACACTGGAGCTTCTATCTTGGGTCTTGGCGGGGGCAGTCGTTCGTTTGTTCTTCGATGTCCAATGAGGGTTTCCTCCCTTGTCTATGCAGTCTCCCCATAGACCGCGCGTTCCTGTATTATTATCGCGGTCTGTATTGCGCTTGTCGTTTTATTTCATAAATCTGTAAAGTCGCGAAAGCACGTGCCAAGGTTGCCTGGCGGTGGCCTGTGGCGATCAACTTCTGGATCTCAGTTGGATGCTGTTTCTAGGAATCCGGATCTGGCACAAGGTCGGGCACGGTGACAGTTCACGGTGAGCTTTTGCCGGTCCGGCACGCATATTGCCGGCCTGCTGATCTTTGCCTGCCGGATCGACCGCGGGTCAGCTACACAGTCATTTCTGGAGCTCAAATGCACTGTGGCCTTCACTTCAACATCACCACTTCACAGCTTCATCGTCACTTTCAGCTCCTGGCGGCCACTGCACCGTGATGCAAAGACCTTTGACGCCTCGAATGCTGCAGCTTGCTAATTTGATACACTGATTTTGAAAGTTTCTTACTTATGCTTCTAACGGGCACCTACCTTCCCCGCTCAACACTCCCTGCACATGTCGCGCCGATAGGAAGGACATGTTCGTTCTGCTTCGTGCCTGTGATGCTTCAAGTCTAGAGCAACCGGCGGACTTGGAACCTTCTCAGATTCGGATTTGATGAGAACCACCAGCATTGGTACTTCCACGCCCAGTACCCAATGTCGTCGTGATCTTAACGAGTCTTTGTCCATACATGGGTCTCATTCGATGGGAAGAGAAAGTTAAAGAGAAAAATAGTGACCGAGAGGGAGACAGGACAGACAATATGGAAGCAGAAGCAATGGAAAATAAAAGGGAAAAAAGTTGCAAAAAAAGAGAATGGGACCAGGTCAAGTGATCGCCCCCAGATTCGAACCCGTCGCCTCCTCGACGGTCTGCCCCCAGTCGTGCTACCCCCAGTCGTGCCCGAATTCCGCCGGTCGGTAGGGGACATATGCCATCAACAAGGACATGCTTCGTGAGTTATAGGGTATAGAGCAGATTATTCTACTCGGTCGCCGCCGCACTAGACGCCCCCTATACCGTCCGACTTGCATCTTTTGGTATTATCCCCTAGGTCGCTCGTGGTGTGTGCTCACCACTCTTAACGGAACTTCAACTGACTGACTGACTGACTGGCTGGCTGCTATATTTCCACTTTTGGTGACTTTGGTCCCGCAATTCCCATATGCCACCGGCGGTTGTTCGCGCATGATGGACGAGCGACTCTGACGAGGGAAGAACAAGGACCACCAACCATCAAAACCCGCCCCACCCCCAAAGACCTATCAAGACACTCACTCGTCGCTTGCTCAAAACTGACTAGACTTCTACGTAAGGTACCGCTACCTACATATCTGTCAACGCCTTTGATGCCTGTTGGTGCGCCATGCGCGGGACGTGACACCTCTAGCGTTATTATTCGGCGCTTGTCTGATCATTAACCGCCGGTTGGGGCAAAGTTCCAGTTCCAGACTTCCGAAGGATTTCCCGCCGGGCCCTTTCCCCGCGCGGTCCTTTCTCCTCCGTCTAGTGTCTCTAGGGTGGATGGTGTGGGTCTAGGTAGGCGCGCCGTTCAGTCTAGATCGGGGCGAGGGGGGCGGAGGATTGAACCGACCCCGCCTCCTACTCACATCAGGTTCTCTTACCAGAGGTAGAGGTCGTGAGCGTAGGTACTTGCTTATATTGTCTAAGGCGCCGCACGGCCGTCAGAACTTTATCAGACTTCTTCCTCCTCTAATGATTACTGATCGGGACCGGAGATGGTGGGAGAGTGAAAGCTGAAGTAGCTAGCTAGTTGGTGTTGGTGTTGGTATTGTGTCGGCATTTTTTGTGCCTCTACATTATATGAACCAAGAAGGTATTACATCAGTAAGAACAGGTAGTTTTTACCACGGAGAGGAGGAACAGGTGGGGGAAGGACTTGAGGATAAGGAGTGGGCGTGGGAGTGGGTGGCGTGAGTGAGAGGATCAAAAGACACAAGACGAAGTACACGTTCTTTACCTTGCACTTGTCTGGCCTCTTGACTACCTAAGGGGACTTTCTTGTCCTGTTCCATATCATGACCTGCTTCCTTCTCAGTGTCATCTTCTGGTATTGATAAGGTAATCACAGAATGATCCTTGCTGGGTCCAGTTATTGACAGCCTTCTGCCGGATATTTGGTGTAGCGAAGCCAGAGGGAAAAAAAACACAGCGAAGTACCAGCCCCAAGTCAACGGATGATGAATCGGGGCCAGACTTCCAGACAGCCGCGTGTCAACACAACCGATGCCATATGTCTGCAGTCTACATGTAAACGTGCGTTAATGTATGAGCCTCATCGTCATCACTCTCACTGCCGCGGCTCCCATATCAAAGAGCCATTGTCTCCTTTGCCTTGCTATAAGCGGATATATCCGCGCTTTGTTTCCAGTTAAAAAGCTCAGGCAGGTCCTTTTGCCTACGGGTGTTCCGATGGTAGATCGAAAGATATGTCAACAATGCATTGTAACCGGAGAAAGCAAGGGTGGTATTCTGGTTCCGTCCTCCTTATGTGAGTGCGTGTGTGTCATGCAAGGTCGACTGAGGATATTGTTTTGTCTTGTACATTCCGAATAGTAGCAAGTACCTCTATGAAGGTATCAGTACTGTACTGTATGAATACCGACTCTGCGGAAATTCTTCACCCTCCATCCGTCAGCATGATGATACGAATTCGGAGGTTCCCACTGTAGCTTGTCTATTTGAGGCACGTCGCTGACCCAATCGAGCATTTGTGTCAGCAGGTCAGCCATCTCTCTCCTGTCTCCGTAGCACCGCTTTGCCCGCTTTGTCGGTGATCATTAACAGCATCTGGTTGGCTGGATATTTCGTCTCACGCACACCCTTTTCTTTCTGTGTTTTGTTTTAGTTCCGTAAAAAAAAAGGACACCACCAGACTACAGCACTGCAGTACTGCAGTAGTTCGTTTGGTGGGCTGTAACCACCCAAACACAAGAGTGAAGCGATACTGAATGAGAGGCACTACCCGTGTCAGTCAGTCAATAGTTATTCTTATAAGCACCAATGCAGTCCGACGCACCCCCTTTTGATACCGGGACGATCCTGAGGTTGATTACTTGCAGATTCGCTTACCGCCCCTTTCTCCGTCTTTTTGAAGTCTTTTTTGTGTGATATGAAGAATGAACCAAAAAAAGACTGGTTTGGAGATAGCAGCTTCAGCTTCTTTCATCGCAGTGAGATCCAGCAGGTCCGACATGGGGATAGGGTAGGTATGCACTCCCTGTCACACAGTTCCGCGCAGAACGTACAGGGAGCCTGCCATCCAGGCCAGCTTGGCCCATATTATTCGGCGATATAGACCTTCTAGAAGCAGTGATGGAAGCTCTCCCTGGGCTGATAGGGCTCGCATAAATGGGTGGTGGTCCCTACGCAGTATATACATACCACCCACCGTACCAAACACGGTGTACCGCTAATTCTCATTGTAGGTAGTAACGAGTGCGTAATATACCCTCGTACGGCAGTACGCAGTAAGCACTTAGAGCTGAGTGTTGGAAACGAAGTGAGCATGCCCTGTGATGATGCCATGGGAGGTCCCGTCATCATTTTGTGCTCGCCACCCCGCATCCGCATCTTGACATCTCAGTCAGTTGACTTTTGTTTGTCTGTGTTAGTCATAGCTTCAAGCCTACCTTATCTGGGATTCATCACTAAGCTCATCACAGTTGAAAGAGCGATAACAAGTTCCCTGTGATGGAGGTGACAGAAGAAGAAGAAGAAGAAGAAGCGAGGAGGAGACCAGGTCGCCGACCGACGGAAGATGAGGAAAGGAAAGGAAAGGAAGTGGTGGAAGCCCGATCCCCTCCTCCCCTTCCTCGCTTGCGTGTGTCTGGCCGGACTGCCGGGTATGGTTGGTGGTAAGCCAAGCTAGGTAGCCAAGCCAAGAAAGAGAGAAATGCCGTGCAACCCCATGCGTTCATCACGGCGGCTGTTGGACCAATCAGGGCACTGCTGCGGCGAGTTAAAAAGGGCTTTTTGTTTTGTTGGTTCTCTGCAACTAAAAAGTCCGCACTAGTGTTGTTCGAAATAACCTCCAGAAAGAATGGAAGCAGGAAAATGAGAAGAGAATGATACGCTGAGATAACAATAACGCGCAACTATCTCATGAGCTTTGCCCAATTTTGGAGAACAGACTAACCTTTTGCTATTACCTATCGGCAATTGGATATTCGGACTCGTGGTTGGTGGATGATAGGCGAGTGGTACCCTCATTGGCGTTGGGGGCCAAAAAATCCGAACCAGCCAAGGATGAGTCGATGAGTGGGAGGCTTAGACTCGGATACCAGGCTTAGGACGGGAAAGTAATAGAGGAACCGAAGAGAAGGACAAAAGTAGTTGCCTAGAGGTAGTTAATTGTTGTCGACCGGCAACATCATGATACCACTGCATCATGGCAGTGTCATGGCCGCATTTTTGGCCTTTTGTTTTTCGCGCTCGGTGGACACTGGACAGCATCATTCATCATAAGGCTGAGTTCCGGACGGGAACGGTACACTGCATTACATACCATCCCGGCTCGGGTGTCCGCAGACCGCAGAGCTGAAGGAAAAAAAAAGGTTGGCAGGTTGGGTTGCGCATTGCGAGTTCGTGATGGGTGCCGTGGTGGTGCCAGATGCTGCGAGCGGTTTAGGAAGTTGCATTCGATCGTCGCAGTGGTGTGTTGTGTTGTGTGGGATGTTGGATTACATATGTTGGTTGGGACCGACGGACTCTGTTTGATGTTGTATTTGGCAAGACTATGGCACATCAAGGGCGACTGGGAGTTCATCTGACCTCATGCCGTGGAGTGATTGGGCAACCGGATTTGGGTTGACTATGGCATCAGAAGAGCAACAGAACCGAAGAAGCGATGTCGTCTCGCCAAGTTGTCGTCCGAACTACGGTATCCACTTGGCTGCAAGGCACCTCATCCGCAGAGTGGAGAGGTTTTGCCGAGCATGTAGAGGTTCCCGTCCCCGCCGCAGCCGCCGCCGCTTGAGCCGTGTGGGGACCGGCGATCAACCGACCAACCGGCCCCGGTGCCCCACCGCTAGGGCAGAAGGGCGGCTCAGGGCGGCCTGATATTTCATTTTGTTACCTGTCACCAACAGCTCCCGTCGAGGCGGACATGACAGAGAACAACGTAAACCAACTGCATTGGATCCCGCCTTTCTGCACATTACACTTTTACAGTAAAATGGCGGTCCGACCCTTGCATCCTATATTCAGCGCCTCACTGGTGCGCTGCCGTGCGCTAACGGATGACTTACAGCAAGATACCGCAGCCCTTTTGCGCCTTTTGACCACTGACATTGCACGACAACTCCGAATGGTCTTCTATCAAGTCGGTCTTCCTCCATTCGATCCGACCTATTGCGTCACTCTCTGGATCAAAGTCAGAAAGGATGCCCCTGAAGGACGCCCTCCCGCCCTGATGTGTTGCCCGGCGTTCGTCATCTTCCTCGCAATCGAGTCCTACCAAGTCCTGCCTGCTGGATGCAACGATCCGACGACCCCGCAGTTGACTGGTCCCTAAACGCGAATGAGCATTACCGCCATTTACCTGCTCAAGTCGAATCAAAAAGTCCGAATAATCGAATGTTACCTTTCTCTTTACGCAGTATGTTTTTGGCCCCCTACCCCTGAGCACCTCCAATCTTCGCATCACCAGCGAACCAGGAACGGTGAAAGGCCAACGGTGGTTGGAAGCGGAAGCAAATGAGTTGCCCGGAAGAAATATCAGTGATCTGGCATTTTGTTGGTTGACAGCAAGACGCGGACGATAATACGAATTCTAAAGTCAGGTACGGAACAGTGTCCCCATATTGCCCTGTTCCCTGCGTGCATCCTGGCTGCTTTGTCCAGCCCTTTGGTATCAAACCACATCTACATCGAAGAAAGGAGCCACTAGACCGGCCAAAATGAGCACTTTTAAAGTTTACAACGTTACTTTCATACCTTACCTACCTTACATCACATCACGTTGGCCCCTCGATCGGGTCTGGTCGGTCAGTTCAATCGGTCTCACCAGTCGAACAGCAGCATTCACCCCGCGGGCCCCGGCCCCTGTACATCGAACCATTCAGCGGGCATCTAAGCCACCCGAGTCCCTGGAGATGGTACATTTGTAGGGATATGGTTCACTATCGTGGTAACCATGAGCTTCTTAAATCTCCATTGGGAAAAGCGTGAGAGGCAAGTTGAGTTAGAACTCGGAAGTTCACTTGGAAGTGTGCCTGTGATGGAATGGAATGTGATGGGGATGATGAGCAATCAAACACCCGTTCGGACCCAGCACTCTAACTGTCATATGTAAGCCAACGATACCCCTCCTCCTCCCTGACCTAACCTACCTCACCTAACCGACATTTTGGCTCTTCGCGGTTCTGCTTTGCTTGTGTTGGCGCGCAAACTTTCTTTTCTCTTTTCTTTTGTTCTGGTTTCATCTTGTTATTTTCGGAAGATTTTGCTGATTGAAGGGTAAGTAAGGGATCAGTCTTGGCGGGCTTTGGGTACAGTCTTAATGTAAGTTTCTATTTCTTCTTCTTTGGATGTGCAACATGGTCGTGAATTGGTCATGATATGTGCAGAGTAAAGTAATGTGTGTATGTGTGTGTGGGCGTGTGTTCGTTCAGACATGATAAAAAGATAAAATAAGCAGAGAAGTCTGGTGCCCGTAAAAGAAGAAACATGTAAAATAGACAAAGAGAAAGAAGCTATGCTAACGAATGACGTGAAGATGAGCTTTGTGCACAAAAACCGCTGAATATGAAGTTGCATGCGAAAAAAAAAAAAAACGAAAAAAAAAGACCAGAAAAAGATGATAAGCCAGACTCTGCCGCCCGCTCGCTATAACCCGTGTAATGTTTCTATGCCCGACCAACCTACCAACCGACCGCCCTGAACAAAAACCCAATCAGAAAAGAACCGTCCGTCCGTCCATTCATGACCGACCAACCTCTGTTTATGAACTGTTGCATGAAAAAGGAAAGTAGCACATTAATCGTACAAGCGAGCGATGAGTGAGTTGTTGTCCATCCCACAACCGCTCTTCCCAATATTTCCCCCTTTTGGTATCTCCAACACGACAACCTAAACTTGGAAGAAAGAGAAGCAACAGAAAAAAACATCTCTAATCATCTTTTGATACACACATAATGGGACTTGAGCTAAGGTAATCACCTCCCCCAAGAATGGCCCTGTTGGCCACCATCAGCCCTCATTGAAGGCGGCAGCGACGAGAGAATGCCGCTGCTGCCCAGGGAAGGGATAGCCATAGGTGGGAGGCCACCAATGTTGTTGGTGGATGACGAAAGGGGATAGTGTTGACTCATAGGCCCCGAGGAGGAAGGTCGTGCGAAGCTGTCGTAGGTCTCTGGTCGGAGATCCATGGTGCCGATGTCGAAGCGTTTGGAGCAACCATCTTCCATGTGCCTATTTGTGAAGAAGGACATTGTTAGTATCAACAAAGTAAAGGGATGGGGACCGTCAAAGGGAAGCGGCTTACCTTCGCAGAGTATCCTTCCTGGCAAACAGACGGCTGCAATAGTCGCACTTGTGGCTGCGCTCCTTCAAGTGCACGCTCTGGTGATGTCTCTGGAGATCGGTCTTGCGCACAAACTTCTTGGTGCAACCGGCTTCCTGGCAGGGGAAGGGATAGTCCCGGTTGGGCTCGTGCGTCTCCAGGTGCGCCTTGTAGTTGTAGCTTCGGCTGAACAGCTTCCCACATCCCTTGACCTCGCACTGAAAGTTGGCTTCCTCCTTTGTCGTCAGGCGCCGTTGTTGCCTCTTGGGACGGGGAACTCGGTAAGATCGTTCTCCGTTTTGGAGGAAAGCCGATGTTTGCGCGGCTCCGGGGCCCGGATAGAACTCGGGCTCGAGGGGCTGGTAGTCGGGCTTTTGCCATCCCGATGATCCTCCATCTGAGAGATAACCAGTAGTGTTGTGTGTGTAGGCGCCGCTGTCTGAAGGGTACGAAGTGTTCATCGAACGTGGTGATGGGTAATGTGAGACTTCCATGCTTGATCCATACTCTGTCTCCATCTTGACTCGCGGTGTTAGCGGACCACCCATCGATGTGTTTGAATGGTAGGAAAGTGACGTCCTCGATGCAGGTGGAATCGGAGATCGGGATGACGGGCCGGAAGGCGGCGGCGTAGACGTTGAAAGAGCATGTCCGTCGTGGTGAGAGTGGTAAACATCGTGGCTGTATGGATAACCCCCATACGACCCGTACTCTGCGGCGAGGATGCTAGGCATACCGGTGGCCGAGGAGGCAGGAAGGATGACGGTGCTGTTCCAGTCGGGCTGACCCATTGATTCAAGCGGCGGTAGTGATGACCCCGGGTCCATAGACGAAGTCACGGAGCAGGACTGGTCACCATATATGGACGAGATCTTGTATTGCTGTTCCACCAGGCCGGGCGAGGGATAGCCAACTGACGACCTTTCGGAAGGGCAGTAGCTGTGCGAGGGAGTTGAGGGTGACCTGGTCAGAGAGGGCGGAGTGAGGGCCATGATTGAGGATCTTTTTTGTTGATGGGGGTGGGAGGATGTTGGCTGATGTTCGATTATATACGAATTCGTAAGACTGAAGATGGACACGATGACACACAATGGACCTTGTTGTTGTTGGAGAGCGAGAACTAGGGGGGGAGGTGCCGAGTAAGATGCGCCGGGGGCCCGATTGGATGTATAGACGCAATCAAGGGGGGCTTCGCCTTATGAAAGGATGGGGTGCGAGCCAGATATAGGGATGGGCGGATGGTAGCCGGTTGGCACGGATCTTGTATTGGGAGTTGGACCAAGTAGTTGGTATACTAAGGAATGGTGATCCTGAGATGTGAGGCAGGCTGTGGAAGCACAGAACAACGGGTGTGGATGACAAGGCAGACAACCGGGGTGTCTTATACACCTCTGTGATGGGACCATCTTTTCTGTCTGGCTAAGAATGGAGTAAGCGCTGCTATACAGAGAGCTTCCCCATAGAAATTGGGGGCCAGATGCGCATCATGGGGATGCAGATGACTGGGCAAGGGGCAGACATACCTCTACCTTGGACCTCACTACACACACAGTACAAAAGAGCGAGAAGAAGAGACATGGGCAGTATGTAGCAAGGCAAGTGGAACCTCGACCTCTTGTTCTCACTAGAGACATGGGTTTTCGGTGGTGGCTGCGCATGGGGTAGGTAAAGCTAGCAAGAAGTGTGTGTGTGATTGAAGCTCCTGGAAGAGGAAAAAGGACATGACAGCCCATGTACCGATTAAGAATTACGGACTAATATGGGTGACAAGGTCGCTTGACACCACCCAGATTAGGAAGAAGGATTCCTGCAGTACAAGCAACTGTCTTGTCCCGGTCGGTTACCGGTTGGGTGGGAAAAGAAACATGTTGGCTCAGAGTCTCATTTTCTGAATCCTAGATTTGTGTGTGAAGATGGTGCAGAAAGGTAGGTAGTGTAGCGTAGGGGTGGGGAGATTTACAGCGCCCGGAATAGACCAGGGGGCCCCGAGTGCAGTGTAGAGAGATGACGGACTCGGAAAATAGCAGTATGGATGATGACCCAGGAGGAGAAAATAGAACTCGATGCAGTAAGGTGCTACCTCTCGGACGGATGAAGTATACCTATCAGGGGTGCAGAACGAGGTCGATCTAATAAAAGTAGAGGCTGCGGTATATCCCCGTTACTGGAGTGACATTGCTGGGTAGCTGAAGACAGGTAGTGGTACCTTGGGGCTTTGTATAGGGCAGCTGTTACTCGGAGTCCCAACCAGCACTTGTGAGATCCATGGGTTGTTTGGGAGTGCCAGCCAGGACCCGCTAACAGGGCTGGGTGACCAGTCACACAGCAGCTCACGGCACCCCCCCCCCCCCCTTTTGAATCCCTGGCGGGATGGTTGGTGCGAGCTCGCGAGGGACAATGTTGGCTAGAGACTCTGTTGGGTTTAGCAACAGCAATGCCCATGGCCCCCATGCAGCCTCCTCGGTCTCCGTTGCGCGGGAAGGGTCTGGTCAAGAAGACCCGAGACCTCATTGCCCTGTCAAGAACGTGCCATGACGGACATGTTCGGTAGCCAATCCGCAGGGGATAGACAGCTGGTTAACTCATGGATATCCCTCTTTGCTCTTCCTAAGAGACGTGCCTCTTCAGTTTGGAGTTGGCACCCATCCGTACACAAGAAGAACCATCATCAATTGGGAGAGCATGATGACTCGGCCAACAGTGCAGATGGCACTTTGTGAGAACGGTATTGCAAGCACGACACCCGGGGGCGCCATCCACGGGTACCTTGGGGCGCAATCTGTCGAACCCGGTGTGGCAGAGGAGGACAGTGTCTCGACTCTTGGCTCCCTAGCTCACTGGCTTCCTGGCTCCCTGGTTCCTTGGCCCAACTGCTAATGGCAAGGAGGTGGAATGGGTGTCCCATGATGTGGGAGAGGCGAGCGCTTGCGCCTGTTTGCTGGACAGGCAAGTCGTCTGAGGGGTCGAACGGCCGACAACAGACGCGGCATAACGAATAGGCGATGGGCATCTCTCTGGGTCTGGTGATGATGGGCGTGAGATGATGCTCTTCTCAGCAACGGAATCAATGGAACCTCTCTTCCACAGGAAGAGATCCCGAGTGGTTGGATTGGCCCAGCGGGCTTCCGAAAGACGACGGAAAGAGTGTAGTCGTAACGGCCTCCATGTTGCCCGTGTGTGAAGAAGGGAGACAAGTGAGGTTTGAGGACATCGACACGTTGGTTCCTTTTTCGGCCCCCAATTCTGTATCCGCTTGTGGGCAGAGGTCGTTGGAACGTGAGAGAAGTGAACAGTCAATGTCCGTGTTGAGTCGGATGGTAAGAAGGAAAACAAAGTGGTGTGAGGTGACGACCGAGGGACAAGTCAACAGAGAGTGAAGTGAGTTGATGAGTTGAGAATGTCATGATTGACGCGAAGGATGCGATGAACGGTGCGGGGAAGTGGACGGCCCATGCTTCCTTCTGTCTGAAGTGTTGGACCCGCTGGGACCAGGCGCAGAGGCAGATCTGGAGCCCTGGAAGTTGGAGATCGACCCCACTCTTTAGCGGGATCCCACAAGGCTACATCCGTTGTACTCACCTTTCATCCCTTCATCTTCGTTTCCTCTCATTTCATCTCTCACAACAACAATTTCATCTCCATCATAACCAGGCGCCATCGCGCATACGCGTTTCCATCAAGATGGAATCAACCGATGTCAAGTCATGCAGAGAACATCGGCCGACACGGTATGAGGTCCTGTAGCCTGTACATCTGCTTGGGCTCCGAGTATGTACAACAACTGTACGACGACTCTTCAGGGGCATCATCTCGCTCCCTTCGGTGGGACACAACCGGGGCAACTCTGGTGCCGTTCCCGGTCACTCTGAGTCTGGCGCAACAAAGGCCCCTCCTTCTTCCGCGCCTTCTGGAAGCTTTTCGGCCAAACAACTACAAGAGGTACCTTACCTTGCCTCGCTTGCTCCGTCACCAGGCAGCCAGATAACCATAGAGAGCCGGTGGAGGCTCATCCTGATGCCGGTCGTGCAAAAGGCCCCTTGGTGCGACTGCTGTGGGACATTGTAACGAGGCCACTGTGAGGCTTCGGATGGACTGGCCTGCAGCTCGGTAACAGCCACACAAATGGTATTGTTCGGATTCCATTCCCTAAAGTGGTGCCTAATTCTACCCCATGTCCCTGTGGTTTGCCAGGGATACGACTGGCAAGTAGACGACCGGCAGCATATCGTCATGACCTCGGACTTGACCCATGAAAGTCCTGATAAACATGTCATGAACAGTGTGGAGAGCCAGGAAGCCAGGGTCCAAGACATTCTTCGTCCTCACGGCTATGCCATCAAAAAAACCTCCGTTCAACATCGATCAAGGTACCCGCGGCGTGTTTATTAAGCCAGCTTAGTTGTTATCAACTGATCATGATGGCTTTAGCATTCGTATGTTAACCACTACGAGATCATTTGTCACCTTCGTCGCACAAGGCCATCTCACCGAACAGCACGCATAAGAGGTATGCGCAAGGTGAGCCATGGACTTTGTGCCCTGATCAGTCTTAGCCGAAAACCGTTGTCTCTCCACAGTTCGATATGCCTCCCATCGGTATGGGCTGCTAGCGAGCTCCCCCCACGCCTTGAGGTTGTTGGGCCCCGTCATACGTACTTGGTTTCTTGACGTCTCGTTCGGAAACTACCTCGCTAAACCCCAAATTTCGGCGAATGAAGCTCAAGTTTCAGAGACAGAGCGACATAACTTGGCATGAATGGCGTTCTGCGACCTTGCGGAAATCCGATCGTCAACGGGCCATGACACCATCCTGCTGTGCCTCTTCGTCTCTTGCGCCTCAGCACCTTAAATCCTAGTGCAAGAGACGAGCCGATAAACCGATAAATGTAATCAGAGAAACCCACAAGCAACGCCATATTACTTGACCAGTCTTGAAGAACCGAACCGCTCTCGCATCGGAAAGTCAGAATCAACAGTAATTCGACAGCAGATGAGATCAAGGGGATGGAGTCGTATCCAAACTTTCCGACTCTTCGGAGGTCCCGTGGCTGTATCTCGAACCCCGGACCAATCAACGTTTATGCTCCGTACGGAACTGGTAGCTGACTGCCGTAGGTGACATCAGATTCCCTTTCGTCTCGCTCTTCAGAGTGGACAGGGAACGCGGGACGGTTAGAGGTCTCTGGCAGCCGACTGGCACCTGACTCCCATGGCATACGACTCTGTCTTTATTGCCCGCGCAAGAATCGTACAACATGCCTGCTTCCTGGAAGGGACTCACCGAGAGACGAACTTGATTCGCGTCAGACCGAGACGAATCATATCAAATACCTGGCTGTCTCTCAAAAGCCGATACAAAGACAGAGAGTCCTTCATCATTCGATTACCTGACGGTAGCAGTAACCGAATTGGCAAATGCTTGGCAGGTCTTCAGGGCTGGTCATCTGGGGAGGATGCCCTGGATCTGTGGATGGTTGCATATTAGCGGGCCATATCCCCAGAATAACATCACCTAACGACACCATTGGCAGCATGGGAGCACTGCATGCAACACTACAGCACCTATTTCTGTGAGGCTGCTGCTGAAACATTCGGCAACATGTTTCCATTATAGAGCTGACGCAATATACCTCAGTCGTTTCGTTGGCCGTTTGGAAGAATGAACGAGAACAAATCAGGCGCTAAGTGTCCATCTCACCCAGTCTTCATGAACAGTCCAGGCTCTTTGTACGAACAGGCCGTATTCTGAACTCGTTGTTTACACAACGTTGGTACCGGCAACATCTAGCGGCAGGCTAGCCGAGAGCTCTATTACTATAGCGGGCGAAGAGGTTACACTGTCTTACTGCTACCCAAACACCTAGCCCTGGGTAGTTCCATAGCGTACCGGTGATTCTCTCTTTACTAATCATTTCAGTGATTTCTTCTGTTTTTGTCATCAACTTCTCTCTTTCTCTTCCCGACGGGTTAATATCGAGGCCGAAATCCTGGTAGACCAGTCATCGAATTCTCAAACCAACTGACACCTATCACACACACACAGCCACACTTTCACTTCCCTTCAGCCCCCATCGGCTAGTCGTCGTTAATATCCTCAGTCTCATGTTTGTTACTTCAACTATGTTCATCGCAGCCAGTTCCACCCTACCCGTGTATTGCATCATAATCCGAAACTAAGGAAATTGCAAGTTTTCCAGCTCAGAGTAAGAGTTATGATTACTGATGATGAAACTACCTAGCCCCCATATGTATATGCGAGCAATCCGTTCGGATCAGTCGTGAGCACCTACGAAAACCTACCTACACCACACTACCCTCCACGCAACTCGGAACCTCGCGAGAGCGGGCTGCGAGCGGGTACCTTGCAGCTAGGCTGAGGCGATGATTTGCCTTCTCTCTTCAGCTCTTTAGCTCAGCCTCCTCCTCGTCTTTCTTTCCTCCTCCACAATCTCTTTTTTCTTCTATTCTACCCACTCTCTCCACATTTTGACCCCATTGTTCCATTGAGCAAGTCTTTCCTACCTATGTAGTGGTTTCCTCAATGAAACACGGCTGATAGTAGGTATCAGATCTAACTCGGCACAATGGATGCAATGCGATGATGCCAATGGTGCTGGTCCTTTCGGCCGCTGGAGATGGGTAGAGGTATCTTTTTTGTCATCTTTTTTTAATCCTTTCTCCTTCCCCTGCTCAGCCTGCTAGCCTGGTCAGCTCCTGTCTTTGCATATTTTGGTGACACTTTTGTTTCATATCTCTGGAAAGTTGCTGACACTCAGAGAACAAACAGCCTGTTGGGAGAGAAACCCCTTAACGAAATCCACATACTCCGGCTTTGTGCAAAGTCAGCTCGAGAAGCCTGTTTTTATTTGGGTTTGTTCTCTTGTCTGCTTACTCTTCTTTCATCTTGAAAGGTTGAATATTCTCATTTACGAATTAAGCTCGGTGGGAGGGGAAGTTCTCCATCTCCATCTATCTCTGATACCCAGCGAGCGGTTCGTTCACTTACTGTCATCATCTCATCGACGCCGGTGTGATAACCGATGACATGAACGGGGTTAAAAGCGATGTAAGTACGTAAGGTATACCCTTCCCTAACTTTACTTACCGTAGTAAGAAATCACAACTACACAAGAACAACAACCAATATCTTAGAAGGCCCTTTCATGGCCGCAAGATGTTGCCCAAAAGAGCAACCTCTTTATTCCCTTCCACCGGAGACGAACTACCTGTAGCCACCACCACTGATTCATGCCAGTTCCCCTCGACAGACTCCGCGTCCAGTCACCACCACCTATAACCCCGAATTACCTCCCTCATAGCCTGGCCTCGGACAAGACGAGGCGTGTTCACACGAGCCACCATCGAAACCTCCCGAACTGCCTGCTTGGAGTGTACCTCCCTACCTGCCAACTTGTATAGCACTCGAGTGTCATTGCAGTACCTATAGACTCGGAGGGTTTTGGGAGTCAATCAAGGGGCATGTAGTTATGTCCACATGGCATCCGATCGGATCCGATTTCCATGCTTGGTTGACAGGGAAAAGAAGAAGAAAAACAGGACACAGGACACAGGATACAGAAACCCCCGGCCTATTGTATCTAGCGTGAGCGACTTCACGTACACACACTGTGGCCTAAGGAGACGCAAGATGTGTCTGGATGTGGTATTCCATGGAGTACCTACCTACAGGTAGATGGGTACATGGTAGGTAAGTAGGTAGGCAATGTTCTTTTCCACTATGCTTGTCTTATATCGCTTGTGATGATAGGTTACTTGTCCCTTGCAGGGCACAAGATCCAGACTACCTACTTCTACGCAAGGCGGCCAGGGAAAATTCAATGGAACTGAATCATGGACCTTTTGTCTTTACCTTGGAGTGATAGTGTTGAGGTATGCTTCCAACCAGTCAAAATTGGGATAGGAGAATGCTGAAGAAATGGGCCGAAGGAGTGTGAAGCTTCTCGTTAGATACTTTCCAACTCCGCTACACACTATCCGTCACTGACACTCAGATTGTATTTTGTCAATTCTGGAAAACAGCTTACTGCTAGGTCTTCTTGGACTTTGGAGGATGTCAACCTACCTTACCTTACTTCGTTCGTTACCTGCTCAGTACTTGACCCCTCTGGTTGAGTTCCTAAACTCTCTCTCCTCAATCACGTCCTGGCTCCATTCCATGGACAACCTTCGTTTCTCTCTCTTTCTTATTCCAATTTGAAACTCGTACAGACCACCGAAGCTTTGAGAAGGAGAAGACACTCTCACTATAGTTGGGGGCACAACCTTGTGGGGGCTGGCCGATTCCCGCAACCATTGAAGTAAGTAAAGTGAGGCCTTGCCACCGGTGTCATGTCGTGTATCAAAACTCCCTTCTTAGCCGCACCCCTGCTTAGAAGTCTCAAATAAGTTACTTGAGATACTTGCCGATCTAACCTCCAACATCCTTCTCTATCTTGCCGGTTACCTACCACGGAATATGTCGTTCCACGCACGAGACCAGATATCGGCTCGGACATCCCGTACGTTGTAAGGAAGTGCGATATGGATTCGAGTCCAATCCGCATGTGATTCCCCCCTCCCCCCCCCCCCCCCCCCCCCCCCCCCCCCCCCAAAGCGATCAGGGCAGCGTCGTAATTGCTCGCTCCCGTATTCTAGAAGCCAGGCTACTACATACTACATCGCACTGCTACTGCAGCATCAACCAACGAACAAGCGAAGGACGGTGAAAGTTTGGTACGGTTAATCTAGTTTAATCTATTCAGCTTCGGTTCGGTTTCTTGTTTTTCTAGAAGGCTTCCATGCATACGACGTTCAAGGATGTTTGGTGATTTTCATGTTGATTGGACTTGATCCATGACCCTATCATCTCACCACTACTTATTTTGCTCGCTTGACCTCTTGTTCCTTTTCCGAACGGTCAGTAGTATGTGGTATTTTGACCTACCTACCAACCCTTGCTTGACCTCATCCATCAGCCCAGCCCCTTCTACGTACACCAGACAGGTGAATCTCGTCGCCCCCCAAGTTCTTCCCAACAACCATGCGTTAGAAGGGGATGGGGGGTCGATATGCAGCGAACACTTTTCTGTAGCATCAACACCGTTACCTTGCAGGTATCCATCCATCCATCCATCCATCATCACCACTGCATGCCATTGATCACCAACCACACGACAGACACACCGAACATCCATAGCAGCCTATCACAACACAAGGTTTACCGAGTCGGATCGAGCACCGTAGGTAGTTAACAAAAGTACCCGAACCGTTTGTGAAGAGGCTGTGCTGTGTAGTGCGTGCACTGTAGATAGACGGACGGATAGATAGACAGAGAGCGAGATAGGTATTAGGACCAACGAGAACTTGTAACACGGACTGTGCTGCTGCAGACGCGGGATAAGTAGCAGATGTCTTCACGGGAGGAAACGACGGGTGCAAGCTCGGTAGGTACATCGCCAGCCAGATTGAATTATTTAGACCAGAATACCATACGAAGTAATTT